TTAATCATGTCCCTTATATTTAAGTGTAAATCATTGGCATGTAATAATCAGAGCAAGATACTCCATACTTTACCATGGAACTCCACTGGAAACAAATTTCCAGTTACTAAAACGCCTTTTGGCTTTTGCCTCTGCCATGAGCCAATTTTGGATCCAAACACCACACTCCCTTGGATCATCTGAACTTTTCGCCTTTCTGACTAGTCTGTGTTTGCAACCTTGTCAAAGACCTTGCTTTAGTATGTATGTGCATGTAGACTACATCAAACATTTCCATGCTCATTAACATTCCTTGTTCACCCATAAAAAGTTCAAACTCATTAGTCAGGTACAACCTTCCCTTCTCGAATCCATGCTGACTGTCTATGATTAAATCATAGTGACAGTTCATACTGTCCCTTCAGAATTATTCCAATAATTTTCCAAGCATTAAGGTTAGTCTGACTGTTCTAAGGCTTAAAAACAAATCAAGAATGCTTGCTATTTTATTCACTGTGAATGTTAACAGGTAAATCTTGGCAAATTCTATGAACTCTGTATGAACGATGCTGGATGAGTGCGCCATGACTCCACTCCAGAAGTCATGACATAAGATAACAATACTGTTCCCAGTTACCAAAGTGGGCGATTTAAAACTTGATATAGATAAGTTATTTAATAAAAAATATATCAAACACAATTCTTGATTTATTAGCAACTGAAACTTAACCAATAAAGATACAGCAATTGGTTAACGTACATATGACAGTTAGTCATATGGAAGTATAAGTGCTTATAACCCTTGGATATCCCCATAGCATGCATACACATGCTATCTTCAGGAAAGAGAGAGCAAATGGATTTCTCTGCCGTGATTGGCTTTCTGGGTGGAAAGAACATTGGCCAATGAGTTTTTCTTGAAAGGAAAAGCATGAAGTGTAGAAAGTTCTGAAGTCCGTTGCTTTGGCATGTCTGGTCACAACATTAATCATACAACAGTTGTCCCTGGCGTCTTTCAGAAGCAGCTTGCTCAGGCAATACAAGATTGAGAAATTCCTCCATTTTTTCGGAAGAACCTATAGGTTTCATTCATACCCAACAATAAGGTTTTCTTTTCAGAAGTGGAGAGATGAGTGGGCAGTCCTTCTTCACAGGTTTCTTGTGTCCCCAGCTGAAGACCAGATACTGATATACTCTGCATCCAACCACTTCAAAGTTTACAACAAAACATAGCTGCAATATTTTTATGGCTGTTCCAGTTTGAATTCTGATCAGTGGTAACCCGTCACATGTTCATAATAGGATATTCATCAAGGTAATGCCATTGAATATCAAGGGGCGATGGTTAGATTCTCTTGTTGGAGGTGACCATTTGCTGGCATTTGTCACAAAAGTTTTGTCACTCAGCAACACAAGCTTAGATACCTGAGTTTACTACAAATGGACAAGGTTTGCTTCAGTACCTGAATAGTCATAGGTGGTGCCGTACATTATCAACAGACATCTCCACTTCTGACCCAATGATGGAGTGAAGGTCATTGATGAAGTAGATGGTGGTTGAGCTTAGGATGCTACCCTGATGAACTCCAGAAGTGGTGTCATAGAGCTGTACAGCATCGAAACAGACCCTTCGGTCTAACTTGTTCATGCCGACCAGATATCCTAAATTAATCTTGTCCCATTTGCCAGCATTTGGCCCATATCCGTCTAAACCCTTCCTTTCATGTACCCATCCAGATGCCTTTTAAATGTTGTAATTGTAGCAGCCTCCGCCACTTCCTCTGGCAGCTTATTGCATACACACACCACCCTCTGCATGAAAAAGTTGCTCCTTAGCCCCCCTTTTAAATCTTTCCCCTCTCACCTTAAACCTATGCCCTCTCTAGTTTTGGACACCCCTACACTGGGGAAAAGACCTTGACTATTCACCCATGCCCCTCATGATTTTGTAAACTTCTATAAGGTCACCCCTCAGTCTCTGCTCCAGGGAAAATAGTCCCAGCTTATTCAGCCTTTTCCAGTAGCTTGAATCCTCCAACTCTGGAAACATCCTTGTAAATCTTTTCTGAACCCTTTCAAGTTTCACAACATCCTTCCTGTAGCAGGGAGACTGGAATTGAACACACTGTTCCAAAAGTGGCCTAACCAATATCCTGTCCAGCTGCAACATGACCTGCCAACTCCTATACTCAATGCACTGACCAATAAAGGCAAGTGTGCCAAATGCCGCCTTCACTATCCTGTTTACCTGCGACTCTACTTTCAAGGAACTATGAACATACACTCCCAGGTCTTTTTGTTCAGCAACACTCCCCAGGACCTTACCATTAGGTGTATAAGTCCTGCCTTGATTTGCCTTTCGAAATGCAGCGCCTCACATTTATTTAAATTCCTGATAAACGCCATCTGCCACTCCTCAGCCCGTTGGCCTATCTGATCAAGGTCCCCTGTTGTACTCTGAGATAATCTACTTGGCTGTCCACTACACCATCAATTTTGATGTCATCTGCAAACTTACTAACCATCCAAATTCACATCCAGATCATTTATATAAATGGCAAAAATAAGTGGACCCAGCACTGATCCTCGTGGCACGCTGCTGGTCACAGGCTTCCAGTCTGAAAAGCATCTCCACCACCACCCTTTGTCTCCTACCTTAAGTCTGTTCTGTATCTAAATGGCTAGTTCTCCCTGTATTCCATGTGATCTAACCTTGCTAACCAATCTACCATGTGGAGCCTTGTCGATCGCCTTACTGAAGTCCATATTGAATGGTCAAATGCTGCCTTGATGAAGGGTAGTCATTCTCATCTTATAGCTGGAATTCAGCTCTTTTGTCTGTCTTTTGATCAAGACCATAATGAGGTCAGATCCATAGCGTTTGCAGTAGCCAGTGCCTTCAACTATTTCTTGATGTCACATGGAGTGACTCGAGGTCACACAAGTTAAAGCAGCTGCTGTTTTATAGACATTTTCACAGCCATTAATCTCATATAAGCACCTGACTAGTAGCCTTAAGAAGGTCGAAGACAGCCGTTTGTGATGTTGGGGACTCAGGAGTAAGCTGACCTGGATCATCCAGTCAGCATTTCTAGCTGAAGATGGATGCACTTTTGCACTGATGGGCTGACCTGCCCCTGTTGTTGAGGATGAAAATATTTGAGGGATTCCTCTGTCCGTTTCCCTGTTGGTATGCCTTAATTTTACATTAGATACTTCATCTTCCAACACTCATTTTATGCATTACAGGTGCCAGAATGAGCAAAAGTGAATTAAAATTTATTTCCTAGAGCTAAGCAAAATGTTGAAGAGAATAACTTTGTGAAGTGCTGGTCAGGAGGTTGCCAACAGAACCTACTGACTTGAGGATGGTTGAATTCTTCCCAGGTCTTGTTATATGTGCAATATGTTTGGACTCTTATTGCAATGCAAGAAGTATTTAGGTGTGCTTTTGTGATGCCAAGGCATACAAGGCTCTGGGCCAAGTGGAAAATGGGATGCTCAGTTTTGACCGGCATAGACTCAATAGGCCAAAGGGCCTTTTTCTCATGCTATAGACCTCTATGACAATGACTATGACTCTGACTCCTTCACCACAATTCTCGGGATCTGTTTGTCTGATGTGCACAAATTTAGCGTACCTAAGCTTAGACGTGAGTTGAAGGGGACAGGGTCTTTTATGTGAGCATATGAGTATCAGTGGAGTTCAGTCCCATAAACTATAGACTGGCAGTTCAGAGTGTTGTATAGTTTTAGTCCTGTCTAATATAGAGAGGATGAACAATTCTTGTAATTCACCATCCATAGCAAGTCCATGTGTTTGAGAATCATCACATTGCATCACCTTGTCAGTTAGTCTGCTAACTAGTCTGTGTGATCATGTATTTTCTTTTAAGTTTTAACTATATCTGTTCACTGGCCTTCCCTACAGTATTGGACAACTGAGTCTGTATGTTTATTTTGTTTGAGGCTTTGTCCACCCTTCTTAAAGCTACTGATCAAGTGCTTATGTAGGATTAGTGGCTGTGAAAATGTCTATAGAGCAGCAGCTGCTTGCCGCTGTCCTGCAGAGAAGCTTTCTTGTTCAAGGTCAGGGGAATAAAAACCGGAACAGGCTGGCCAGTGTGATTTGCTGGCATTTCGTGTGAAAATGTTGGCTCCATTAACTTCAAGATATAGACATTAAATGTACCGATAATGATGGCGAAAACATGATTTGGCAGTTAGATACTCCACTCCTTAATGTGCTCTTTTGATAGTTATAGTATTTTTTATGTTATCAACTTGACTGATTTCATAGTTGTTCTAAGGTTTTTCTAACAATAAATTGAATGAATAGAGAAGTATAACACGTTTTTTGTTATTATGGAGATTTTTATGCAATATATTATCAAGGCATCTCCTATACCTTGTTGCTGATCCTTAGTGATCAGACTTGTAGAGGTATTCAGTTGCCTAGCACTGACACCTCAAGCAAAAGGAGTATTGAACTTGTTTAGGTTCGCTAAATGAGAAGTGATTTGTGAGTTACATGTTGGATTTGACTTCCAATATGGCTTCTTAGTAAATGGGAGAGGTTTGAGTTGGAATCTAGTATCGGTTGCCATCTAGCATAATCCTTATTAACATCTCTATACTTTCTAAGCTAATTTAAAAGTTTTCAAATTGCCTTGATTTTAAGATTATTTATGTTTCTGTTCACTGACTATCGTGCCTCATATTGTAGTCTGTCTTGTCAGAGTTGATCTTAAATGAGCTTTATAGTGATAGGCATCCATAGCAGTGACACCATTGAGGAGCTGTGTAGCAGTTGCAACAATCTTGCTCATGGTATATCAACATGGGTCTGCAAAGTCAGAGGTGGCTATCTCTACACACAGATTTTTACTCTGACTAGATTGTATGATTTAAAGTACACGGAGACTGCAGTAAAGCCTTGCTTTATAAGTAGTTAGGCCCTATTCGAGCCTGCAACCAAACTTAATTATTTGACACTAAATTGCTTCCCTGACTCTGTTCAGCCCCCCAGCAATCAGGAATCGTGCATAATGGATTCCGGGGGGAAGGAAGAAAGCAAGGAAGACGGAAATGGAGACTGAGAAAAAAAGACACGTATGGAGGTAAGAGGGAGAGAAAGGCAGAAAACCACATCAGAACAGGTTAGGGAAGGGTTGTAAAACCTGCTAATTTACACAGCTTACTACCTCCAACCCCAATCAACTGATTTTGAGTTTTTTCCAACTTGAAGGTTGAACTATGGGACTACAGAACACCACTGTCTGTTAGGAAAGAATGCAGTGGCCACTTGGGGAGAGCTAGGCAGCAAAGTATGGCTTGCATTTCTTTTCTCAACTACTCCAATCTGTACCTTAACTCTGCATTCTTATTACACCTTTTACTCTAAAGCCTGGCTATGCCCCAAACTGGCTGTCCTGTTGTCTGCACTCACAATATACTTCATTTTATTTTTTGTTTTGGTTTCCTTGCCAATTTTGATGAAATCTTGATTTTTTTTTGTGCCATCAAGTTGTTCTTGGTAAAGGTTGTATAACAGTTGCAATGGTAGTGACAAGATTTGGTATTCCATCGGTTGCCACAAATTCAGTCTACAGTATTTTCAAACTCATTTGGGCTCTGTCTTCCATCTCGCTCATACTTTCTCCGTTTGCAGCTATCAAACTGTGGATGAATGTTGTCATTGACTCCCATCCCGCCTCTCCTGCAATCACTCCGGGCATCTTGCCAAGGCTGTGACTCAACTTTCAGCTTCTTCTTTTTTCTAGCTGCCTTCAGCACAGTGGTGCATTTGCTAGTTCATGGATGAGAAAAGTACCATTCCAGTTCTGTTCAAATTTAATCTTGATGTGAAAGGGTGAGATAGTTGGAAAAATCTTTCTCCAAACCTGACTTTAACAAAGAACTTTCATCTATTGCTCAGGTGTATTCTGCTATAATGACCAGGGCCACTTTCTTATTCCTGACACGTTTGTTGAATCCTCAGCTACAATAAAATTTCATGTCTTGTAGACATCCCTTGCGATACTTTTAGATATGTCCTTCTGAACTTTCCCTGCATCCCTTACAGGCAGCCCACATTGCTTCCTTGGATATTTGTCATGTTCATCTATCCCTCTTGCCTTTTCAGCTTTTATCATATTATCCCTAGATGTTTTCTTCAAGTTGTGGATTATCGCATTATCTATCACCTTGAAAGTTGTAGCTTGATCCATGTTCACTGGTACCCCATTTCATTAGTGGTTGTGTTGTCTGCTATTCTGCACCTCTGGGGTTTTGGTCATTCTTAACTGGCATAAAGCTATCCAAAATCTTTTAGTTTTGATCTGATACTTCTGAAATGTTACTGTTTTACGAGTTCTAACTTCCATTCCTTGTCTCTAATCTTTGATTTATTTCTTTTACATCTCTTTTAACTCTGCCTCCGGATGCATTCCTCCGAACCACATCTTTTGTCACACTCGTTACAAGGACACTACATTCTTTTGAAATCCTTTTTTTAAATTCACTGGTGGGATGTGGATGTTGCTGACTGGACCAGCATTTAAGTCTTGTTGCACTGTTTAATCCCAGCATTTTAAGTCTTGATCTTCAGCCTTTACTGTCATCAATGACGTTGGATGCCCAAGCTTTATTTCACTTCCCTACTGGCTAACATGTTAGTTTCAGGTATAGTTATCAGGAAGGGGTAAGCATACTGGGTGTTCTTTCTCTTTTTGTCATGGAGAGTGGTGGAAAAGAAGGCAACTGAGAATGACCTAATAAATTTAAAGTTGTGGCAAGTTTTGAACTCAACGGTCTGTCTTGATGCTACATATCGTCTATAAAAGCCTTAATCATGCCCTTTACCAATCCTGACACTGGCATTTGAAAATGTGGAAGGTGTAGTCTGGTTCTAGCAAAAAAGCTTGCACAGTAATGGGCTGTTTCCATACTGTAAACATCAATGCTTAATCTCGGTGTTGCAAAGTCTGGGAGCTGTGATTTGACAATTGCTGGTCGATTGTAGCGTATTAAACTGACCTTGTTATGGTGAGCAACGTTCTGGCGTCCTCCATGGCCCAGTTGATGCAGGCAGTGTATACCCAGGTCACGCATGGCAGAAGTTCCCTGGTTGAATTTTCATTTTACTCCCCTTAGAGGTTGGAAAGGCTTTGCCAGTATCTGTTGGTGTTTAGAAGAATGAGAGGCGATCTTATTTCAACATCTGAGCTCCTGGGTGATCATAAGAGTGGGTTTAGGGGCGCAGTTTCAGGTGGCGATGAGAATATTTTTCTTTCAGGTTTGTTGATCTGTTGAACTCTTTTACCTGGACAGGGGTGGAGGCAGATCATTGAATAATGTTGGGTTAGCTAGATTTTTGCTTCAGAAGAGAGATTAGGGCTATGGGGTGGACAGAAATGTCAAGTTGAGGCTGCGATCTGACCATCCATGATCTTATGAATTGGAGGAGCAGGTCTCAGGCTCTAATTCGTATGTTTGTAACTGAGCCAGGGAAACAGTGAAACCACTGTGAGTTGTCAGATCTCAGGAAAGAAAGCAGTGCTTTAGGGAGCTTCATGATCTAGGCCAGCATTTATTGCATTGCACTGGGGAAAGTGTGCTAAACTGTCTTCTCAAACTGTTGCTGTCCCTGTGGTGTAGGGACACCCATGGTGCTGTCAGAAAGGGATTTCCAGGATTTTAATCTAGTGGCTGAAGAAACAGTGATATAATTGTAGGTGGTGGTGTTCCCATGTGTCTGCTGCCCTTGCCCTTCTAGGTGGCAGTGTTTGGAAGGTGCTGCCAGAGGAGTGTTGGTTACTGCAGTGCATCTTGTAAATGATCTACACTGCTGCCATTGTGTATTGACTGTAAAGGAAGTGAATGCTGGTGGTGGTGGATGAGGTGCCAGTCAAACGAGCTGCTTTGTCCTGGATAGGGTCTTTTTGAGTGTTGTTGGAGCTGCACTCATCCAGGCAAGCAGGGAGTATTCCATCACACTCCTGATTTGTATCTTGTACATAGTAGACAGGCTTTGGGGATACAGGTGATTTATCTATTGCAGCCACAGTATGTATGTGTGAACCAGTTCCAATCTGATCGATGCCATCCTTTAAAACATTGACAGTGACTGTGATTCAGTGATCATAATGTAATTGAATATCAAGGGGTGATCATTAGATTCTCTACTTGCTGGAGGTGATCATTGCCTTGCACTTGTATTACACAAATGTTACTTGCCACTTATCAAGTGTAATCCTGGATGTTGTCTGGTTTTTGTGTGTTGTGAATGGAGCATTGAATTGAACATTGTCTGATCTTCAACAAACATCCCCATTCTGACCTTATAGTAAAGGGAAGATCATTGATGAAGCAGCTAAAGATGGTAGGGCCTAGCAAATTATCCTGAGGAACTCCTGCAGCTGAGATGATTGAACTACAACAACTACAACTGTCTTCCTTTATGCCAGGTGTGACTAACCAACAAGGAGTTTTTCCCATGATTCACATCTGTAGTTTTGCTGGGATTCCTTTATGCCATGTGGAGTCTTTGGAACGTGTTTTGAGATCAGGAACCAAATGAATGTGGCAGGACCCAAACTAAGCATCAGTGAACAAGTTATTCTTCTGCAAGTTGCTGCTTGATAGCACTGACAATGAACCCTTCCTTCACTTTGATAATTGAGGGTAGCCTGAGAGTATGGAAATTGGCCCAGTTGAAATTGCCCTGCTTATTGTGCGCAGGATATACCTAGCAATGTTCCACCTTATTGAGTAGGTGCCACTGGACTGAAATGGGCCTGGCTAGGGGTGCAGCTGATCATTGAGCAGAGGTCTATAGTCCTGTTGCTGAATGTTGTCAAGCCCACAGCCATTCCAGCATCCAATGCTTTGAGCGATTTCTTAATATCTCTTGGCTTGAACTGAATTGGTTGAAGTCTGAAATCCATGATGCTAGGGGCCTCGGGAGGAGGTTGACACAGATCTTTCATTTGGCACTTCAGTCTAAAGATGCAAATATTCCAATTTTGTCTTTTGCACTGAAGTATGGGTGTCCCCATTGTTGGGGATTGAAATATTTGTGGAGCCTCCACCTCCTGTTACTTGTTTAATTGTCAAGCAATATTCACGACTGGATGTTGCAGGACTGCAGAACTTAGATTTGATCTGTTGGTTGTGGAACTGCTTAGCCCTGTGTGTTCTATGCTGCTTCTACTTTTTGTCATGCAAATATACCAGATAGATGCCTTATTTTTAGGTATACTGGTTCTGTTCTTGGCCTGCCCTCCTCCACTCTTCTTTGAACCAAGGTCAATTTCCCATCTTGATGTAATAGGGAGAGAATGCCCAGCTGGCCATAAGGTTACTAGTTGTGGTTGATTATCATGCTGGAGCTAATGGCTAGGCATCCGTGAGGCATTGTGGGCCATGATTTGCTAAATCTGTTAGTCTGTCTTATTTAGCACAGTACTAGTGCCACAGAGCATGATGGAGGATATTCTCATCGTGAGGTCGGAACTTAAGTCTCCACTTTCATGATGGCGCTGACAATGTGCAACTCCTTGCAAGCTCCCTACAGCAGATCTGACTAACATCTTATAACCATTCTACACTTTTGAACTTAAATTCTAAATCTGTAAAAAATAATGTTCTTTTAAATTTACTCTTGATCTTGCCTAGGGCACGCCCTGAATGACATAACCTCTAAGCCTCTAAGTTTTATTTTCACCCTATGTTCTGTATGTCCTTGCTTACTGTGATCTGCCAGTACTGCTCGTAAACAAAACTTAGGTACACGTGACAATAAATAAATCAAACAAGGACTGTGTGGTGGTCATTCCTGCTGATACTGTCATGGTCAAGTAGATTTTTTCGTCTTTTTTGTTCCCTCACCACCTGTTGCAGATCCCACCGAGCACCTTTAGGACTCCGCCAACTCAGTCAGTAGTGGTGTTACTGACCCACTCTTAGTGGTGGACATTGATGTCCTGACTCAGCGTATATTCTGTATCCTTACCACCCTCAATGCTTCTTCCTAAACATAGGAGGTGCTGATTCCTCAGCCAAGGGGATGGGAAGAGGATGGGTTTCCATGCTTATGCTTGACCTGATGAGACTTGGTAGGTTCAGTAGCAATGTTGAGGATTCCCAGGCAAATCTATCCTGAATGTGTACCATTATGCTGCTACCTCTGCTTTCCCTGTCAATGTGCCCATGTTGAGGCCTTATGGTCTGTCTGGTGTAATTTATTTTCTTTAGATTTTGTAGCAGTTACAACTGCGTGGCTTGCCAGACCATTTCAGAGAGCAGGTAAGTAATCGCTCTGGGTCCGGAATCACATGTAGTCAGGCTAGGTCAGAGTGGCACATTTCTTTCCCTAAAGGATATCATCGAACCAGATGTGTTTTAAAGGCTACATGGCTGCTGTTAAACTAGATTTTCATTCCAGATTTTGAATTCACATTGCATCATTTGCCTAACTTGATGAACTTCGGTTTTCTCTACAGACTAACTGAATTTATGTTCTATTGGGCCGCTTGCATTTTTAAGAAATGAAAGGTTACTAACTCTTCAAAATACCTGGATGTGAGATGTATTATTTGAGCAAATTCTAATGTTGAAACATCTAGTCACTGTTATGAGACACCAGAGTTTTTTTTTGCTTTAGTTTTGTGTCTTCTTTAAACATGGGCAACCCTTTTCTATATTGTCTGTACTTACCCTCTAAGTCTGGATGGTAAGTGCTGGCTGGTTATTGGGCTGCAGGGGAGTCGACACAAACACATCAACCTTAGCTAATAGCCCTAGATATCCTTCCAACGTGGAATGTTGGTTGCTACAGATAGAGAACAAAATGGCAAGCTCTTCATGAAGTAGATGAGTAGTAAGTGTGGCATGAAAACAGGTAAAATTGTTTCCATGTGTTTAACAAGACTGCAATATCTTCCTACATTGTCCACTTCTGTTTCTGTCCTTACACTTTGCGCTCCTTGTCACTGTTTCATTAATTGTGGGATTGGTGATAAGTTTGGTGTTTCAATGCATCAGACCTGAAGAATCTATGTACCAGTGCATTACCAGATGTGCCATTTTGTGATTTAGGAATTAAACTCTTTTAATACCCACCGTTCACACCAAAGCACACTCAGCTAGTGAAGTATTTTTGTAATGTTGTCATTATTGCAATGTAATGAAATGAACAGTCAATTTGTATACACCAAACAGCAGTGAGTTAAAGACTAGCTATTTGTCAGGGTTATCAGTGTGGGATAAATATTGACTGAAACGACAGGAGACATCCTGTTTCTCCTCTTGTAGTGTTGTAATATCTTTTACTGGCAGCTTTCTGAAGGTGGACATGACTGGTTTAATCCCTCAACCAAAAAATGGCACATCCGGTAATGCACTGCTCCCACAGCACTCCACTGTGGTGATGACCCAAGTCGTGTCGTGGTGATTACAGTGGGCCCTGATATCCCAACCTTGTGGCTCAGAGGGTAAAGGGCTCCAGCTGACCCTTACTCCCATCTAAAAAAGGCAAGAAGTGTAGACCACAAAACTAACTGATAACCTTGCTGATGTGCATGTGAGAAGGATGAACTTGGTAGTGAATATGAAGGCAATCAATTGGAGGTCACTTCAAATCTGAAAATTTATGGCTATTGAAAGATATTTCAAATCATTTTAAAGTTGTAAGTTCACTTCAGTCAACTCCATAACTGTTCAAGCAGATAGACTGGTTTATAACATTAGATTTCATCAGTTTGTGTTTGATTAATATTTCCCCAAAGGTAAAGTATTGAACCTCTATATATGATTCCCCCACTTAAAACTTTGTCGGTGACAAACTGGTCCCTATTAGTTGCTTTTATATGATACTTGTATTAAATCCACATTTTTCTTTTACAAAGACTTTTCAATGCCAGACTTGTTTTTGAGTTGCAGCCTTCTGCCCCAGCTCCAGGTAGTGATGGTTGCTGGCACTATCATTAGGTATTTGCACAGTTTAAAAGCAGATTTGAAATTGCTGCTGGAATGCAGAACTACTTGGAGATACTGGCCCCTGCTGGGCATTTCCTCAATGCTGGGATCACAGAGCTGACTGTGCATGTCTTTCTTCCTGTCATGTAGCCTGTTGATGAATTAATGTTCTGTTATTGTATGTATTATTCCTGATTACATAGTTGACCTGTTGCTGCATAAACTAATACAATTAGTTTCTGATTCTATCCTGTCACCACAATTTCGGCATCTTCTCCTTCCAGTCATGGGGTCTTCCTGACTGTTGGCTGGATTTTAGTTTGGTGATAACTTTCCAGTGTTGAGTGACATTTTTCATTGGTGAACCCTGAGTCAATCTATTATTGGGACGATCTGAGCCATGCACCCTCAAACTCTCTCGTGATAGCTAAATAGAAGGTATTTTCCAGCAGTCAGCTAACAGAGCAATCTATCTGATTTTCTTCTGAAGCCTTCAGTTGTAAAATCTAGCACATTGCCCCACCTGAGATCAGCTATTGAATGCTAGGTAACTTGCTCTTTTGGAGAGCCAACGCAGACACGGGCCAAATGGCTGTCTCCTGTGCTTCTAGCCATTCTGTGGCTATGAACACAGGTAGAATCCAAATCCTTCTTGACTTCTAGAATTGTGGGCCATTAGGGAGCTGCAAGTAAGCTGTTTTTGTCAGTTTCAGTTACATTTGAGGGCTTTGAAGGTCAGATATTTCCTTTGAGCATTTTTTTGGAGAAATTCTATTGAGGCCATCAGACAAAATAGTTGCTCCTAAAGAGGCATAATTAAAAGTCGACAACAATCTAACACGTGAGTAATAATTTTTGTGATGGATTTGCACTTTGCCTGTTTCATTCCAGAACATGATGACCGAGTTGGGGGTGGTTTTCCTGTTCGGAAAAAGAAAGGACGCGGTCCATTCCGGGGAAAGATGTACAGTGAAGGAAGTCACAAATCCAGGAATCGAGGCAGTGGAGGACCCAACCCACGGTCACGGTTCGAGGATGACGATGGCGATGTGACCATGAATGACCACGAGTCACCAAGGTCACGATTGTGAGTAGCAACCTGCATGTATTACACTATTATTGACACCATGAGAGGCTGGCCATTTCCTCATCGAGTCTGCGCCATTATTCAGTGTGATCCTGGCTGATCTGATGACCCTTAATTTCACTTTGGGATAAATGAAGTTCTCTTCAGCTTAACTTTAGCACTAGAAATATTTTAGCTTGAGAATTTCATGAGCATTGTTTCTATTATTTCCTCCAATGACAAACAGAAACCGTCATTTATCTTCACACTGGGAATGGCAGGAGGTTTACACATCATTTCAAACCGAATTCCTTCACTACTTCTGGTACTATCATAAAACAAAATTTAAAGCTTTCATTTCAACCTACAACAGGTTGCCTCCTCTAAATTAATGATGCATTGCTATATCTTCCTCTTCTTTCCCCTTCCCTTTGGTCTCCAGCTGTCCATTATTCTGTGCTTTTTAAGGCATAATTCCATTTACCCGATCATCTTCCCGTATATTCTGCAATGGATGCTCACAGACATAGCTGCAGACGTCTAGGCAGTTCTCTCATCTGAGTGACTTGTTGTGGCTGCAGTTACCGTGCCAAGCTAAAGCCTGTACCCTGTCCTTGCCTGATGTTCACTATTCTCTGGGAAACACACTGAAGATACCCTGGCTGAATTTGTTCTTTCCATGAGACATCCACTCAAAATTCTTCTATTGATGCATCCCTCTGCACAGTCAGGAGAGGGCGTAGTCTTAAACTTAGCATGAGGCTGGTGAAACAAAGATTTTGGAAACATGCCTAGAGGACTTAGAGTGAAGATTAAGGTCCAGGCAAATAAAGCCAAATTACACATCACTCAATGAGGCGCCATACTCGATGGGCTGAGTGATTGATCTGTTGCTTTCAGTTTAAAACTTGGGCAGTGCTATCAGAGCTGGGTCTGCAGAATCCATTTACTCTGGTGTATCTCTAAGCTAAAGATAGCCGAGCTGTTTTGCTTCGCTTCCTGCCACCCAAATGCAGGCCACTATTGACACCACAGTGAATATGGAAATGTAGTCTGGAAGGTCCACGCCATTTTCTTGAAGATTGCCCAGAATGCTAACTGGTCATATGTTCAGTAATTTTAATAGTTTTTCCCAAGTTGTATATGTAATGAGATATACACCGTTCTGCCAAGGCAAACAATTTTGAAATCTTCCTGACTTCCAGACTGTTGTGTCAACGGTAATTAACAGTGGCTGATTTTGATAGTATAAGATTGTACCTAAGGAGGTGCTAATAGAGAGTTTGGATAAGGTGATAAAGAGAACAATGGAAAATTCGATGAGTAAGGAGAGAGTCAAGAGTGACTCATCCATATAACACATCTGTGAAGATTACTGATTTGCTGGTAAACTGAAGTTTTAACAGCAGCTAGAGTTTAAAGTCGCTGCTTTTGCTATTTCAATGATGGCATTTTAGATGTAATGCTAAAATGCTTTAGGATGGTCTGAGGTGCTGTACAACTTTCTTGCAAGAAAATCTACCAATTAAGATTATCAGGAGGAATTTAGCGAGCAAACTACACCATTGACAAATTCACTCAATCATTTTCTTTTGCCAAAATTGAATGGGGGCATGAGCAGGAGAATTGTTCTTTGTTTCACATTGATTTATTATTAGAGATTGTCAGGGAATCAAAAAACATTTATGGCACAGGAGGAAACCATTTGGCCCATTGTTTGTGTCAGCCAAGAAGCTCTTTTCTTGAGATCTGTCTGATCTCACTTGGCAGTACTTAACCAATAGTCATGTAAGTTAATGCACTTCACTTGCATATCCCATTAATTTTATGTGCATTGAGGGTTCTAGCCCTTAGCACTGTGAAAAAGCAAGGGAGGGAAGTCCTGTTTAAACTAAAGAGGAATCACTTTAATCTCATTACAAATAAAATCTTGGCTACAGTGCTCCTATACAGAAACAGAAAGTGCTGGAGAAACTCAGGAAGTCTTAGAGTACATGTGGAGAGGGAATTAAAGTTTCAGGTTCTACATGACTTATGAAGGAGAGCCATTGGATTCACAGCAATAACTCTGTTTCCCTTTTCACAGATGTTGCTGAGTCTCTGCAATGCTTTGTTTTATTTCAGATCTCCAGCATCCGTAGTATTTTGCCTTTATTTCAGTGCTTCTACCGAGACTTATTTCAATAATAAAGTAATCATAGAATTGTTAGGGTGCAGAAGGAGGCCATTTGGCCCATCATTTCCATATTAGCTCTCCTGAATGAGCATTGTGACTCAGTGCCATTCTCCTCCAGTTGTTTCTCTTCAAAAATCATCTAAAGTGTTGACTGAACTTGCTTCCACCACACTTCCAGGTGGTGCATTTCATACCTAAGCCACTCGCTGTGGGAATTTACTTTTTCTTGACAATGTATTTGCTTCTTTTGTAAATGACTTTGTCTGTGCTTTCTAGTGCTTGATCCATTTACAAATGAGAGCAGTTTTTCCCTATCTACTGTATTCAGACCCCTTATGATTTTGAAAATTTCTATCATCTCTTTTTAGCCTTCTCACAAGGAAAACAGTTCAAATAGTTCCAATTTCCAATTTCTGTGTGCTCTCCAGTTCAATAAAACGAACTTCTGGGGAAACTCTAATATGACAGCATGTGTGGAGAGGTGATGTGGAGGTGCTGGTGTTGGACTGGGTTGGACAAAGTTAGAAGTCACACGACACCTAGTTATAGTCCAACAGGTTTATTTGAAATCACAAGCTTTTGGAACGTTGCTCCTTTGTCAGGTGAAATCACTTCACCTGATGAAGGAACAGCATTCCGAAAGCTTATGATTTCAGATAAACTTGTTGGATTATAACCTGGTGTCGTGTGGAGAGAGGAAGCAAGTTAATATCTTGAGTCCACAGTGACTCTCATTCAAAGCTCCTGCTCTTAGTGTTTATTCCCCAACTCCTGAGGTGCTAGTCCAGTAACATTACTTCTACATCATCACCTTCTGCCATGCTCTAATTCTCTTACAGTAAAGGCCAATGTGCCATTTGCATTCCTCATTTTACTGCACCTGCATGCTCACTTTGTGTTCCTTGTACATCAATGTTCCTCTGAACACCAAAGTTTACAAGTCTTAACTTTTTAAAAAAAAATCTATTCATACTGTTAAATGGAGGCCAAATCTGCCCACCTTAAGATGGGTGTAAAAGATCCCACCATGGTATCAGGAGATGACGAGAGAAGTCCTCCCTGGAGTCCTGGGCCAATCTATCAATCAACGTTTCAAATAGATGATGTGGTCATTATCACATTTCTGCTTGTCTGAGCTGCTTGTGTGTAATATGTACTTCCTATATTACAACAGTGAGTAGACATCAGAAGTAGGTCCTAAAGGGTGTTGGGACATCCTCAGGAAGTGAAAGGCAGTATATAAATTTGAACATAGAACATAGAACAGTACAGCACAGTACAGGAACAAAAACAAAGTTGCTGGAGAAGCTCAGCAGGTCTGGCAGCATCTGTGAAGAAAAAAACAGTTAATGTTTCAGGTCCGGTGACCCCTCCTCAGCACAGTACAGGCCCTTCGGCCCATGATATTATCCTACTAAGATCAATCTACCCTGCATTTTACTATCCTCCTTGTGCCTACTCAAGATTCGCTTAAAAGTCTCTAAAGTATCTGATTCCACTACCACTGCCGGCAGCGCATTCCACACGCCAACGTCTCTCTGTGTAAAGAACCTACCTCTGACATCTCCCCTATATCTTCCTCCAATCACCTTAAAATTATGCCCCCTCGTAATGGTCATTTCTGCCCTGGGAAAAAATCTTGAGTATCCACTCTATCTATGCCTCTCATCATCTTGTACACCACTATCAAGTCACCTCTCATCCTTCTTCGCTCCAATGGAAAAAGCCCCAGCTCCCTCAACCTTTCCTCCTAAGATCTGCCCTCCAGTCCAGGCAGCATCCTGGTAAGTCTCCTCTGCACCCACTCTATAGCTTCCACATCTTTCCTATAATGAGGTGACCAGAACTGCACAATATTCCAAGTGTGGCCTAACCAGAGTTTTATAGAGCTGCAGCATAAAAAGTCCATGTTAGTTTTCAACCAGTGCTACTGCAAACAATTTGCAAGGTTATTCATCTTGCTTGTCTAGGTTTTGACAATGACAACACAGTATGGAGCTGGAGGAACACAGCAGGCCAGGCAGCATCAGAAGAGCAGGAAGATGACGTTTCGGTTTGGGACCCTTCTTCACAAATGGGGAGGGGGAAGGGAGCTGAGAAATAAATAGAGAGAGGAGGATGGGCTGGGGAAGGTAGGTCGGATGGTGATAGGTGAATGCAGGTAGGGAGTGGTGGGGATTGGTCAGCGGAATGGTTGGGGTAGATAGGTGAGAGCGAAGATGGACAGGTTGTGTTGGGTCAAGGAGGTGGGAGGATGGGTAGGGCTGGGGAAAGGTAGGTGGGGTGGTGATAGGTTGGGTGCAGGTAGTGGGTAGTGGGGATTGGTCGGTAGGAAGTGTAGGGCAGGGTGAATAGATGGGGAAGAAGATGGACAGGTTGTGTCATGTCAAGGAGGCGGGGCAGAGAGAGAGGGTTCGACATGAGATGAGGCCAGGGGTGGGGAGGTTTTAAAACTGGTGAATTCTATGTTATGGCCATCGGCCGTAGGTTCCCGAGGTGGAATATGAAGTGTTGCACCTCCAGTTTGCGTGTGGTGTCATTGTGGTACTGGAAGAGGCCCAGCATGAGCAGGAGGGGAAGTTAAAATGGTTGGTGACCAGAAGGTATTGTCGTTTGTCACATACAAAGCGCAGATGCTCTACAAAATGGTCCCCAAGTCTACGCTTCGTCTCACTGATGTAGAGGAGGCCACATCGGGAACAATGGACAATGCTGCAGTACGCTTGGATTTTGACTTGTGGCACGGACCATATTGCAGTCTATTAATTGCTGAATAATCTGAGCAGCACATGAAGCCAGTAACTGACCTAGAGCAATTATAATTGTCCTCTGCCACTCAGCCTGCTATAAATAGGCAAATGTAAATAGGTAATTGTAGCTATTTAAAACTGGCTTTATTAGCACAGAGCAGGTTATTAGCTAAGCATTGCAGTCACATGGAGTTAACCAAATTACAGATCCGATGATCCAACTGTTTCCTGGTACACAATAAGCATGCAGATGTACAGAAGCTGAAATTCTTTTATTGTTTACCTGGCAGACAAATGACAGCATTAAGTATTGTACACATCATCACTACTAAACTTACTATGCTGGCTTTAATCATTGGGTGAAGGGCTAAGGGCCCAACATTGTAAAAGGGTTTCATTGTTCGTTTGCGAGATGCGAACCTCATTGGCTAGATCACTTATTACTATCCCTAGTTGCTCAGGAGAGGGCAGCACTGAGCTAATTTCTTGAACTGTCGATGTCTTTGGTGTGTACAGTGATGTTAGGGCAAGAATTCTGGGTTTTGACCCGACAACTGTGAAGAGATGGTGATATAGTTCTGAGTCAGGAGGGTGAGTGGCTTGGAGGGGAATTTGCTGCTGGCTTTGTCCTTTGAGATGGTAGAAGTTGCAGGTTTGGAAGGTGCTTCTTCTGAGGTCTGCAACATCACACGCCAGTCTTCAGCCAATTCAATTCACATGATATCAAGAAATGTCTGAAAGCACTGGATATTGCAAACATTATGGGCCTTGACAACATTCCAGCAATAGTACTGAAGACTAGTGCTCCAGAACTAGTTGTGCCCCTAGCCAAGCTGTTCCAGTACAATTACAACACTGGCATCTACCTGACAATGTGGAAACTTGCCCTCGTATGTCCTGTGCGCGCACAATGGGCATATCCCACCTGACCAATTGACAGATCATCTGTCTACTCTCGATCATCAGAAGTTGTTAGAAAGGGTTTTGACTGTGCTGTCACAGGGCACTTGATCAGGAATAACCTGATCACTCAGTTTAGATTCTGCCAGGGCCACTCAGCTCTTGACCTCGTTACAGCCTTGGTTTAAACATGGACATAAGAGTTGAATTCCAGAGGTTAGCTGAGAATGACTGCCCTTGACTTGATATCAAGGCAGCGTTTGAAGCATATGGCATCAGTGAGCCCTAGCAAAGTTGGGTTTGATGGAAATATGGGGGAATCTCTCACTGCTGGTTGATGTCTTGCCTCGCACAAAGGAAGCTCGTTGTGGTTGTTGGAGGTCAGTAATTTCAACTCCAGGATGTTCTTCAGGAAGTTCCTCAGGGTTGTGCCCTAGCACCGACCATCTTCAGCTGCTTTCCGTCCAACCTAAAGTCAGCAATGGGGATATTCACTGATTAGACAATGTTCAGCAACAGTCATGATTCCTTAGATACTGAGGCAGTCTACATGCAGTTAGGCTTGAACAACATCCAGTTCAGGATAAATGGCAAGTGACATTTGCAACACACTAGTGCCAAGCAATGACCAACTGCGACAAAAAATCTAATCATCTAACCTTGATGTTCAATGGCATTGCCATCATTGACTGCTCCACCATAATTATCCTACGGATTGTCAGTGACCAGAAACTAAACTGGAACGGCCGTATAAATACCATCTTTACAAAAGCAGGTCAAAGACACAGAATTCTGCATTGAGTGTCTATCCTTCCTGTTACCCCAATGCCTGTTCAGCATCTTCAAGGCACAAGGTCCGGTGTATGATGCAATACTCCCCATTGGTTTGGATGAGTACTGTTTGAATAAAAAACTTGATAGAAGCAGCCTACCTGATTGGCACTCAAACCCACTACCTTAAAGTGTTCATTCCCACTATCACTGAAGCACAGTAGCAACAGTAAGGACAAGATACACTGTAGCAATTCACTGAGGCTTTTTCAAAAACGCCTTCCAAACCCCACGGCCCTTACTACCTCAATGGGCAGATACATGGGAATACCAGGACCTCTTAAGTTCTCCTTCAAACCACAGCATCCTGACTAGGAACAATATTGTCATTCCATCACTATCGCTGGATCAAAATCTTAGAAATCCCTCCTTCTCAAATTTGTGGTGAACCTGCACCACGTTGACTGAAATGAGTCTCAGAGGGTGCCTCACCTCCCATCATCATCGTAAGTAGGGATAGGCAACGAATGGTTGTCCGTCCAGCCAGCAACACCTACATCTCATGAGGGAACAAAGAACGCAGTTGATAGGTATGCCTGTCAATGGTTTGCCTCGGTGTTGAGGTAACCATACTGCTGGTTCAAATTCATTGCAGGACATTCATGCCTGGAAGTCTGTACGCTTTGAACCTGTTTAACAGCCAGAGGTTTGGCAAAATTGTATACCAGTTTCTATCCCACTGTATCCGAATAGCGGTTACTGAATATGGTGAGCCACACACAATCCCAGCATGTCAAATGGGCTGACCACGTAAATTGTTTGGCAGCCAGTGTGACCTGGTTGCACTGGACATGTTGGTATGAATTATGAGCTCAGATGTATGAATTAGGACTTGAACCCACAATCTTCTGACTGTGAGGGATAGGGTGACAGATCAGCCGGAAGGAGACAACCTTCCGCTCCCTGAAATGGTGCTGTTGACATAAATGCTGTGGTACAGTGCACAAGTTTCAGCAACTGTCAGTGCTGTGTATTACCTGTGTTATTGTAGTATAGCTGAAATGTAAACTGAACAACTCAGTTTGGCAATAACTGTCGAGCACAGTGTATTTTTCTCCCTTGAAACATTCCATGTTCATGTGATTGTACTATGATACAGTAAGCAATCTCCTGTTAGGTTGATCTTAAATGTTTGTAATTTTTAAAATCTGTCTTAATCCTCAGTACACCCTATGGTCCAAGACCATCTCGTCGCCCAGACAGCTGGCATGATCGTGATGGAGGGCCCTCAAGCATTCAAGTTACTGTGAAGCAAAATTCGGAGAGAAATGCAAGTGCCAATACACGGCGAACCTGGTTTAAAATCACTGTAGGTCCTTATTTTCGCTGTGCTCTTCTGTCTTTATTTTTATGTTGTGTACATTTTGATACTGGACTTCTGTGTGGATCACCGTGTAGGTTTTTTTTTAAATTCATTCATGGGATGAGGACGTTGCTGGCTAGACCACATATATTACCTAACCCTAATTGCCCAGACGGAAGTTAAGAGTCAACCACATTGCTGTGAGTCAGGATTTACATGTAGGGCAGACCAGGTAAGGATGGTAGTTTCCTTTCCTAAAGGACGTTCGTGAACCAGATGGGTTTTTCCAACAATCAACAATGGATTCAAGGTCACCATTAGATTCTTAATTCCAGATATTTATTGAATTCAAATTCCACCATCTACCATGGCAGGATTCAAACCCAGGCCCCCAGAATGTTATTTGGGTCTCTGAATTAACAGTCCATTGATAATACCATTGCTTCCCTCAAGAGTCAAGGACTTGTGATCATAAATCTCATTCCTTTTGAGAACTTGTAACAGTTTTGCTCTTTTCCATCTTGCTGTTTATTCCCAGAATCTTTCTCTTCACTATCTTTGCTCCCTGCTGCCCTACTCCAAACAGAGGGAATGCCTAACCCATTCCATTCTTTCCAATGTGAACTGCCAGTAAGAGATACACTTAACACAACCGTTCTGTGTCCTGTTCTGTGCTCCACTAATGACTGAAATTGCGTAACTATGCATTTCAGTTATGCAAAATATACAATGTTGTGAAGGGCACTTAACCTCCAAACGATTAGAAAATGATGTCATTATCTTACTACATTCATTCCATGTTGAACTCGATGATGTCTTGTCAAGTCTAAACTTTGGCGTAATATAATATTTTGAGTCTTTGTGCTGTTTTCCAAATATATTTATCCAAATGTTAATTTATAAAGTTTTTGAACATGGATGTTGTAAAGTTAACTGTTGAGTATGAATACAGCAAAATATTTTTGTTCTCTTTAGATTCCCTTTGGAAAGAAATATGATAAATCCTGGCTTTTGTCAAACTTGCACAATATGTGCAGTGTTCCCTTTACTCCTGTTCAGGTAGGAACAATGGCACCTATGATTTTGTTAGGCAAAGCAAGAATGTTAAGAAAATGTTGTCAGTAAAATGAGATATTCCGCAGATTGATTCAGTATGCTCAAAAGGCAGGGTTAAGAGCAGAGATAAGCGGTTTACACTCCCAGTCTGTTCAGAGGTTTCTCTTGGAAACTGTGTGGCTTGGAATTTGGAGCAGAGCATAGATTGATCTTGACTTGTTTTTTTCTTAATTCATTTGTGCAACGTGGGTGATCACTGGCTGGGCCAGTCTTTATTGGCCATCCCTAGTTGAGAAGGTGGTGAGCTGCCTTCTTGAAATGCTGGAATGTGTGTGCCGCAGGGACACCCATCATGCCATTAGAGAGGTAGATCCAAAATTCTGACCCAGTGACACTCAAGGAACAGCAATATATTTCCAAGTTAGGATGGTGAGAGATTTGGAGGGAAGCTTGCAAGTATTCCCATGTCTGGTGGTGGTATTCTGTTGCCTCTGTCCTTCTCGATGGAAGTGGTCATAGGTTTGGAGAATTAAAGAAGCTTTGGTGAATTTCTGCAGTGCATCTTGTAGGTGGTACACAATGCTGCTGCTGAGCATTAGTGGTTGAGGGAGTGGATGTTTGTGGATCTGATGCCAATCAAGCAGGCTGCTTTGTCCTGGATGATGTCAAGCTTTGAGTGTTTTTGCAGCTGCATTCATCCAGGGAAGTGGGGAGTATTCCCTCACATTCCTGACTTGACTTGTCCTTTTGGACAGGCTTTGGAGAGTCAGGAGGTGAGTTACAGCAGGATTCCTAACCTCTGTTTCTAGCCCCTTATTAATATAGCTAGTCCAGTTTTATATCATTGATATAGCATCATATAGTTAACACTTGTCACTGAAGTCTGACCCAATTAACTGAATTTTGGTTGGAGATTCTTTGTTCTGTTCTAGTGCTGATCAAAATAGGCCAAAACAGCACAAACACAGCTAATTGTATCCCTCAGGCAGTTTAAACAACTGGCTTTCACTAGTAGTTGTACTTACAGTAGGAATGTTTGGGGATTGGGGGTGGGGGGGAGAGTTGCAGGCAGAATTTGAATTCCCATGAAAGGTATCCTGAATAGATTAAGCATGTATTCTCTAAAATTTAGAGATGAAACTATTGGAACATGTGAAATCCTTTAAGGAGCTTGACAGGGTGAATGCTGAGTGATTTTTTTTTTCTTCTGGACATGGGTGGAGGGGTTGGTCACAGTCTCAGGGTGAAGGACCAATTATTTAAGACTGAAGTGAGCGATTTCTTCACTTTCTGTCCCAGCGACTTGTGGATACTCGGGCTTGGAATATATTTGAGTGCTGAACAGACCTTTGGACTCTGAAGGAATGAAGGGACAGCACTGGAAGTTGCAGCTGGGTATTAGATCAGCTATGATCTTGTTGATTCACTGAGCTGACTTGAAGGGCTGAACAACCTACTCCAGTGCCTATTTCTTATGTTACTGGAAGGGCAGGCACAGAAGAAAGACCAGCTAACTTTAATGGGCACCAAACAATTGGGAAGGCACCTGCTATGTTGGCCTTTATTGCAAAAGTATAGGAGTAAATAAGCCTTGCTGTAATTGTATAGAGCGTTGGTGTATGTTCTGATTTAATTGTCAGGCTCAGGGTCCAACCAAAAATGAGACCACCCCCCGGAACAAGTGGTTTTGGCAATGTTTGTTGATTTTATTCAGTTAGCTAAACAGGTACAAATACAAGTGAGAAATCTTTATTGCCTATATGCTGCATGCGCAGTGCACGGACAGATCATGGTCAGTCTTGGATTAGTTAGGGTAGTGTATACCGAATTTCTGATTGGTTCCTTTAAAGGTAATGATTAATCATCAAGATATCATTCACTGGTAGGGCTTTTCCTACTGCTTATAGTTTATTTCCTATCATTTCATTGAATTTTGAAGTTTACCACAAGGTAACGAAATGTTTTGCATCATCTTTCCCCATACATTTCAAACGGAGGTCTTATGCATCATGTCCTCATGAATGATATTCATTGTCTCAGATCTTGTTAAATTGATACCAATCCCTCATTCAGTCAAGCACCTATCAATGACTGTTTGTTTTGAAGGATTTGCTTAATGTGCTTCTCCCCTCTGTAGCTGTTAGTGTTAGCAGCCATTTACTTTAAAATAAAGAACATACTGGAAACGTTGCTTATAACTATACATTGTAAACCTAAGACAGAAAATTGCAAAGTATCCTTGAGTTACACGAACTGTGTGCAAAATATAAATGCAAAATAAACAATGTATGAAAGATCAGAATGAAATGTCCTTATACATTCCGTCAATATATAGCTCAGTAATAACAGTCTGGAAGTGTACTGACTACAAAGCCCAAGATAATACATTTAGCAAAAATGTGATTGTTTTCTAAGCAAAATACTACAAATTAAAACAACACAGCCATTGTCCTCGTCCTTCTCATAATGCTAGTTCCTCAATAACAAAAATGAAGGAATGCAGCTCCACACATTCAACAGTAAGTTTTTGCCATTTTGTTCTGGCACTGTTTGCTGACACCGATGACTGTAGTCAACTATTCATGTTTGCTGATTTGAGAGCACATATGCACACAGTTCCATATACAACATGTCTTTATGTAGGATGTACGTATACCATCATGCACAAAGGCAGTACTACTGCACGTGTGATTTTAAAAGGGGGTTCAGTGGTGGGAAGAAGGGGTGAATCCCCATGAGTGTGGAGGGAAGAGGGCCCAGAATCCAGAGGCTGGAGAAGTAACTAGAGTTGGGGTGTTGAAGCCGTCCTTCCCCTTGTCTCCCATCTCCCACACTTCGCCCTGGTTCAGCCACCCCCATGCACAGATGTGCACACACTCCCTCTGGTCCCGATTGCACATCCACCCCCACCCCCAGAACAAAAACTCTCAAGACTGTCTGCACATGCACAATTTAAAGTAATATGTGGTGCACATGCGCTGATGTTAGCAAACGCAGCCTTTTTTGTCTGTTTAGAATCTCATTATGCATTCCTGTGTCAAGTCACACTCACCAGTCACGTTATGCTAGGCCTGTATTGGTATATTGTATATTGTACTTATACAGAACAATATAAGTTTATCAATTAATATACTTTAAACTAATCTTGAAACATTAATTTCCTTATTAGTGAGATCTCACCTAGATTATCACATTTAGGCTTAGTCACCTTACCTAAGGAAAGATTAACTTGCCACTGAAGGAGTGCAATCTGATCCATGAGATGGTGGGTCTATCCGATGAAGACACTTGGTGATCTGATTGAAGCAATACAAATTTCCTACAGGGTTCAACAAGGTAGATGCGGGATGGGTTTATCCCCAGTTTTTTGGGTTTGGTGTGGGCTTGGTAGGTACTAGTCTAGGGTGACATGGTCTAAGAAGATGTTAGGCCTTTTAAGATTGAGATGAGGAATTTCTTCAACCAGAAGGTGGTGATTCTTTGGAAATGTGTGCCTTAAAGAGGGCTGTGGAAACTCAGTCATTGAATGTTCAAGAGAGATTGACTTTCAGAAATTAAAAGGATCAAGGGAACCGGCCTCCTATTCCAATTTCCTGTGCTCCTAACCTTGATCCTGCTAATTGAATGCTCAAGGCGATTTTCACTTCGAGGAGTAAAATGCTGTAACCTTGTGAAGCTAGCCCTGCTGCAGAAAAATAATTCTGCAAAGTGTTTGGTGTGGCGTTCGTTTGCTTAACCCAGTTGTCTATGACCTCTAGCTCCAGAGTCACGTGTGTCAGTAACAACTTATTGGCAGCCCATCTTATCTGATTGAAAGTTGAAAATTTCAGAATTGATTGTTTATGAAAATAAAAGGTGAATTATTATTATACTGCATTTTATGGTTTCAAATGATTGTTTTAACAAAAGGCATTATTGTGCTGTTTGTAATCCTGTTTGAATGATGTTGCTACACAATGGTTATAGATAATGCCCTCTGTTCAATGAAGAGGTTTAATGGGTTGTGAGTGTTGTTACTTGTAATATAGCTCAGGTGAATTATTCTAAAAATGCTGTTAGAGCTTTCTTTATTGTGAGCCAATAGCCCAATCATTGCCTGAATTCTCTGTCTGGAGTTAGTCTGTTTTGCTGGCTTTACTGACAAAATTATAGGTTCCCAATAGTTTTTATTTTTGGCCACTTAAGGAGAAAAGTTCTTCAGGCTTTTTTAAAATTATCTTTGGAAGAGATGTAGGCGTTACCGGCAAGTCCATCATTTGTTGCCCGTCTCTAATCGCCCTTGAACTGAATGGCTTATTCAGCCATTTTAAAGGGGCAGTTAAAGGTCAGTATGTTGTTGTGAGCCTGGAGCCATATGTAGACCATACCTGGTAAGGTATGGCAGGTTTCCTTCCTAAAGGACATTCGTGAACTAGATGGGTCCTTAAGACAATTGATAGTTTTATGGTATCATTAGAGACCCAGTTTCAACTCTAGCTTTTTATTAATCACATTAAAATGCCACCTTCTGTCATGGCAGGATGGAACTGTACTCCCAGACTACTAGCCTGGCCTCTGGACTACTGATCCTTACTGTTATACCCAATGATAAAAACAGTTGTTCATCCCTCACTTAATACTTCTACCAAAGGTAGTGATAGTGTTCCTACCTCTGAGCCAAGAGACCTGGTTTCAAGTTTCACTTACTCCAGAAGGTGTGTAATAATATCTCAGAACAGGTTGGTTAGAAAATATCTACCACTAGGATTCTCTTTATGAGCTGTCAGGTTAAGGGTGTGCTCCTATTCTAAAAATTCTCTTATTATCGTTTGAGCCTTAGACCCGCACCCCCATCCTGATATAAAGGATGTTTAATTTTGCCAATTCTAGCTGAAAATGGGAAGGGGATGAATGAATTGTTAAACTTAGTCCAGATAGTTTATGAAAAGTCACTTGGAATCCTGAATGGCTTTCTGTGAGTTGCTGCCATTATGCCTTTAGTTCTCAGGGCTGATTGGTTGCCATGTGGTGTTGAAATCAGTGCCAATGGTCACTGCCTGTTGTAAAAAATAGGCAGCTTTTTTAAATCCACTTTTGGGATGTGGACGTCGATGGCTGGGCCAGCATTGTTGCCCATCTCTAGCTACCCCCTTGAGAAGGTGGTGTTCAGCTGCCTTCTTGAACCACTGCAGTCCATGTGCTCCAGGTAGACCGACAGTGCCCTTGAGAAGGGTATCCAATTGCTTTTAACATTTGTAGTATCACATTAAAGGCTGTCTTACCAAATGTTCTGTTAAAGAGAGTCAACCTTTATCATCAACCAGATATTGATGTAACTGGTTAACATCATCTAAACAATGAGGCAACAGCCAGAGGGAACAATTGAGACCAATTATATCTGGCCAGTGCTCACTTTTCAGCGCCAGTCATAGGACAGCAACCAGGCTGAATTTCTCCACATTACCATACTTCAGCTAGCTAACTACGCGCAATGAATATGGAATGTTATCTGTGGTTCAGAACCATACAAGGGATGCATTGGAATGTCAGGGATCTGATTGGGATGTAACTGAATGAGGTGGGCAGTTTTCCCATTCACACATTTCAAGGAATGTGTACTGTGTATTCAAAGTTGTTGAGTGTCTAGTCAGAATTGATGTTTTACTTTTCACTTCCCTCTCCCAACTCAAAAAAATACATACACATCTACCAATAGCCCCACTGTTTGAGGTCTTCAATCAAGAAGGAAGTCATGCTGAAGTTGTACAGGACGTTGGTGAGGCCTCTTCTGAAGTACTGTGTCCAGTTGTTGTCACCCAGTTATAGGAAGGATATTATTAAGCTGGAGAAGGTTCAGAAGAGATTTACCAAGATGTTGCCAGATGTGGAAGGTTTGAGTTATAAGGAAAGACTGGATAGGCTGGGATTTTTTTCACTGGAGTGTAGGATGTTGAAGGGGACCTGTTAGAAGTTTTTAAAATAACGAGAGATATAGACAGAGTTAATGGTTGTTGTCTTTTCCCTAGGATGGGGAAGAGACACGAAGCAAATTTTTTAGAGTTTGTGTGTGGAATGCCTGAGTAAGTGGTGGATATGGGTACAATTTAAAAGATATATGAACAGGAAAGGTTTGGAAGGAAATGGACCAGGAGCAGGCAGATGGGACTAGTTTAGGTTGGGATTATGTTCAGCGTGGAACAGTTGGACTGAAGGGTCTGTTTCCATGCTTTATGACTCTGACTCAATAAGAAGTCCTAAAATAGGCTTGCTGTTTAGGACAGGCAACCAGTTATGGTAAACCTTAATCTATCACTAATTATACCTTGGTGAGTTATAATGATCTGAGATGCCATTCCTAAAAGTGTGGCAGAAGCAAGAATTGGAATGTTATTAGGGTAGGTGGTATTGTGGAATTCGGATTGCACACAGATTAGTCATGATGTTATTAAATGGCTGTGCAGGCTTGAGCTGAATGTCTTAGTCCTGCTCCTGACTTGTATTTTTGTCTGTAAGTTTGTATGTTTATAATTTAGAAGTCCATTGAAAGTAGAAATTTGCACAACTGTGGGAAAGAGCAGGGGAGTGAGAGCAGAAATGGGTTGAATAGCACCTCTCTTTGTACTTTTCTGACATTTATCACTCACTGACTTTCTGTTCTCTTCAACGTTTATGAAATCAAGACTTATTTGCACTTGATCACTAGACGACAGTAACAAAATCTTTCTGTCCACAGTTTCACTATGATGGTAATAAGGCAGTATTCTATGTTGAAGATTCTACAACTGCTAATGCTTTAAAACAGATATCGAGAAGAATTGTTGATAAGGATTTATACCGGGTATGTGTTTCTATATATATTTCTGACAGTAACATGTGCCTCAGAAAAAAAACAAACCCTTTTGATGAACAAAAACAAATTTGCTGTGTTGTTTGAAGTGGTCCTAACCATTGCTGGATCTGCAGCAGGCATACCCAAGAATTGTCATTGTTTTGAACCTGACCATTCCTGAAATCAGGCCATTTCCACTAGGGTACCAGGTCCAGACAATTGGGTCTCACTAAGCTGGTCCACAGGGGAGGTCAGCCTAGCTGTGTCCAGTCCTGCCCTCAAACTGCACAGATGTGAAGGAGAAGTATTGGCTGTCTTTTCCATTTTCTACCTGAGAATCCAGAAGGGGACTTGCTTGGGCAGATGCTGAGAAATTATTTCTGCTGACTGGGGAGTCTAAAATAGTTTCATGATAAGGTGGCGATCATTTAGGGCTGAAATTAAGAAATTTCTTCTCTCAAAGGTTTGCGAATCTTTGGAATTCCCTACCCAAGAAGGTTTTGGATAATTCACTATTGAATTTATTTAAGGTTAGGGCACACAGATTTTTGAGCTCTCGGGGACTGGCAAAATCCTAAATTTGATTACGGGCAAACATTTTGATTTCCTTCAGGTGGCCATCATGATTAATCCTTCAGTGCCGCCATCTTCTGTTTCAAATGAGCTCAAATCAGAGGAGATCGAGCACATAAAGGTACGGACAGCTTTCTCACACCTTGATTTAAAAATGCATTTCAGCTCCTACTGGAAAATGACCAACTTGTTGCTAATAAATGCAAATTTATGAAAAAAAAGAGTTTCTGTTGAGGACATTGCTACTTTTGTTTTTGAACCTTTATTTTCAATGCAATTAATAACAGAAGCTCAGATGTAACAGACAAGACCAGGAGGAGTTATACTTATCCATTGTAGCAGAAAGCAATAGAAGAATTGCAGAAAAAGAGTTTGCATTTGTATAATATCTTCCACTCCATCAAATCACTTCATAATTAATGTGTTCCTTTTGAGGTGATGCTGTTATAGATGTTAGTGGCAATTAAGATTTGAGCATAAACAGGAGTGTCGGACATTGGGCTGTGAGTATTTTGTGTCAAAGGGATGACCGATTTGTATTTGGTTGAGAGATGCATATCAGCTTACATCAGGAAAAATTCTCACCTTCAAGACTTATGAGGGGCATGGATAGGGTGCAGAGTAGTTTTCCCAGGGTAGAAATGTCAAATACTAGTGGGCATAGGTTCGAGGTGAAAAGGGGAAAGTTTAAAGGAGATATGCGAGGCAAGTTTTTTTTTATCAGAGGATAGTAGGTGTCTGGAATGTGCTGCCAGCGGAGGAGGTAGAAGCAGATATGATAGCAAAGTTTAAGAGGCATTGAGACAGACACATGAACAGGCAGGGAATAGAGGGATACAGATCATGTGCAGACAGAATTAGTTTAGAATGGCATTGTGGTCAGTGCGGATGTGATGGGTCAAAGTGCCTGTTCCTCTGCTCTATTGTTCTGTTCTGTGTTCACTTCTTGGTAATGTCACAGTGTCTATTGATGTCTTTGAGAGGGCAGATGAGACCTTGGCTTAGCATCTCATAAAAATGACAGTACCTCTGACCATGTCCTGTCCCTCGCTACTGTACTAGAACATCACTTTAGATTATAGATTAATTCCTACATGATGCAAGAGCCTGCCAAAAGAGAGGCAGGATTGGTGTTGCTTGGCCAAGAATGACACCTTTGAAGGAAAGCATCTTGCGTGACTTTGTAACTCAAGTAGAGCTGGCAGGTAGTTCATGGCAGACGTGCCAAGGCTTCAGCTGTTCCTGTACTTCGGACTAGGCAACAAATGATCATTTGATATATCTGAGAGAGTACCTTTGTTTCACTGAAATTATCACCATTTAATTTGCAGCAGTGTATGAGTAAACGTTACGATGGATCTCAGCAGGCCCTAGACCTAAACAGCATACGTAGTGACCCAGGTATGGATTTGAAGTTTTTGTCATCTGTTTGGTGACTTGAAGCTGCCTTAGGTAATTAAGAAAAACTTGCGTTAATAGCATTGCAACCTACCCAATTTTCTTCTCCTGCCTCTTACTTTCTACTCTTCACCCAGTTCTGTCATTTTTTGAGTCGCAGTTCTTTTGCGGGTGAAACCGGGCATTTGAAAAATAATTTTACTTGTCTCTTGCCCCTGTCCCCCACACCAAAATGTGACATTTTGCCTTATTAAAAAGACATCAGATCTGACTGACTTTTAAAAACTTCTTTTATGGGATTTGGGCGTCGCTGGCTGGCAGCATTTATTGCCCATCCCTAGTTGCCCTTGAATGGAGATGGTTAACCAACTCGTTTCCAGGTGACTCTTTAGTCGTTTCAATATTACAATGACACCCTGTGTTCCAGATTTAACTTTGCCTATTGGTTTTCTCAAGCTCTAGAAACCCACCTATTGGAGTCTAGGGCTATTTATTTCATGGAAAGGGTTAGTATCTTTACAGCACTATCTGTAGGCTCAGAAGTGATGAGAATGCTTCCTTCCAGCTTGCCTGTCTTAGACCCAACCACCCTCCTATCAAAAGACACCCCATTTGTGAACTGAGGACTATTTGATGAATTGCTATTGCTGTGGAAGTTAAGATCCATTAACCCAGCGCAGAGCAAGAGTTGTGTGGCTGGGTGATACAACGCCTAGGTTGTGGAAGCACTCACCAAGGCCACCCCCCAATCTTAAAATTGGAGTGGCAATTTGCATCATTGCATACAGGCCATGAATGAATTGTAATTATTGCTTCTGATTCCTAACAATTACTGTTTGATTGTTCAGACCTCATCTCTCAGAATATTGAAGTGGTGTTAAACAGGAGGAGTTCCATGAGCACAGTCATCAAAATAATAGAGGAGAACATTCCAGAGGTATGCAGGGTATAAATTGTGGGAGGCGGGATACTTTATTCTTATTTTCTATAATAATGGAAAGGTTGAAGCAAAATCCTGCAGAGTAGTTTTACATAACTTTGTGTACACTGTAATGCATAGCGAACAGGGAGTGTAGCAATGCTGTAGTGTCTTTTGTAGAACTAACAGGCCACTGCTGATTGCTTTCTTAAAGTGATGTTCTGCCCATTAGCCCTCCTATTTGGATTGCTGCTCTTGTCTGTTTGACAGTTGTAATCTATGCCTCCCCTTGTTTTTACAGTTGCTCTCGCTCAACCTGGGCAATAACCGGCTCTACCGACTGGAAGACCTGGCAGATCTGATTACCAAAGCACCCAGTTTGAAAATTTTAAATCTTTCCAGAAATGAGGTGAGTGTCTGTTTACAGCAACGGTGAGAAGCTTAGTTATGATTGTTTTATGAGCTGTGTTTGAAATATGTCCTCCCCTCTACTCCCCCTGAGGGCTCTTTGAGATTTCTGAAGGACTACTTTTTCATTCCCACTAATTCCTTCTTTAGGTGAGATGCAGTCACATAGTAATAATACTTGCTGTATTTGACGTATTGGGTATTTGGACTTGCAGAGAAGCAGAATTAGAGGAATTCATCAATATTTTCAATTATCACAGCTCAAATCTGAAAGAGATCTGGACAAAATAAAAGGCTTCAAGCTGGAAGAGCTGTGGTTGGATGGGAACCCTCTCTGTGACAGCTTCCGGGATCAGGCTACTTATGTCAGGTCAGTGGAAGGACCCCTTGTTGTGGTTTTGTTACAGGGAGCCTCTCAAATGGCAGACAGTATATTTTTCTTAACCTTGCTTCTATTTAAAAATAATCTAATTTTCTCACTAATTTCTTTTCATGGAATATCAGTAGTATTGGGAGATAATAATAATATTTTTCACAAAGCCATTAATGTAAATGTGGTATTGGTGTTTCATGTATAAGTATATACCCTAAGTGAGTATCTTTCCCAATAGGCAAACTGTTAATAACCTATTCTTTTTAAAAAGAACATGTATTCTGTTTGTAGTAGCTTTACCAAAAACCTGTAGGCCCAACTCTCTTTGTGAAAGACCAATGATTAATTTTTAATCATTCTCCGAATGTGGGGACTACAGTCCAAAGACCCCCTAGTTGTACATCATCTTCTTGTTCAATTTTGCAACAGGTCAATTTGTGTTTTTTATGCTGTGGTTAGAGGTTGCGAAATGCTTTGTGCCTCAACACTGAAGAAACTCTTGTTTACCCAAAAGATTCCCAACAAACATCTTGCATTCCTAAAAAGCTTTGAATGATCTTAAAAGCCACTGATCACAATAATAAGCCAGTTGCTCTTTACCTGATGAAGTTTGAGTTGCAAGTCTGCAGCAGCACTTTGCTTGGCATCAAATTTAGAAGAAAGAAAACCTGAACCATTGCCTGTCAGTCTTTGTATCTGTGAAATGGGTGCAGGTTTTTGTTGGTCAATGAAGAAAACTGGTTAGCCAGTGACTGGTAAGACTCGTCAGGCGAGGAACAGCCTAAGACAGACACAGTCATGCATCGACCTTCAGAATGCTGGACTATGGTCATGTGGCTTTGGCAGATTCCTGGTTTTTGCATATGACTTGGGAATTTAATTGAAGAGTTTTTGGGTGACAAAGCAACTTGAGAGGAAAATCGTACACCCTGTACATTTTATACACTGTCTTTTTGACAAAGTAAAATTCCAATTTTGTGGGCATGTTGAAATGTCTTTCAGAGTCAATTTAAGAACAAACCTTTGGAAGGAAGAAAAGTTCATTGAATCCTATCACAAAGCATTTGACACAAGGCATCAGTAATTTTTAAATTATTTTAAGATGTTATGATATAATATGACAAATTTTAATGTGAATAGTTGTTTCATTAGGTGTTCTTTGGACAACAGCCCTTCATTATACTCTCATCCTACCTCATCCACTTTGTGTTTTCCCCTAGTTTCTCTTCCTTTGTCTTTGTTATCGTCTCTTTCACTGGCTTTTTCCTCGTTCTGTTACTCTTGAGACCTACTTATAAGACCTATTTTTTGGGTTTTTTTGAAAATCTAGATTTGCCAACCAATTGTTAATTTTTGATTGTTCACTCCTGATGTGCAGTAATAATTTGGGCGGAGTTGATAGCTAGCACCTCTGTGATATCACACTGGTTTAATCCTTCTCCCCACCCAATTCCAACTAACCAGAATATTGGTATCTCTTTTCCCAACATTGATCCTGTTAAATGTTGCCTCTGAGCAGGTGAGTGATAGCTTGGTAAGTAAACGGAAACTGATTTTGCGGGAGAATGAAGGCAGTGTTGCTTTTAATTGACCTTCTGAGGCTGCACTTCAGGCTTAAGAAAAAAACCAATGCATCCCAGACTTCACTTTGCTGTTATTCATGTGAATTGATGACTCCCAAGATAGTTTGTGTCCTCATTTAATAAATGAATGAATTCCAGTGTCTTAGTATTCAACGTAGCTGCTGGATGCAGTGTGAAATAACTCCAAGTTGCTGTAAAAATTCCACGTCATTAAAATTGGTTGGACAATTTCGTTACTTTGGGCACTTGTTTTGCTTTGAAAAGAAGTGAGTCTGCTGCGCTCATATCCGGAGGCAGATGAAAATGTAATGAGATTGTTAAGTAGCAGACAATGTGGTCCAATGATATGAAAGGTAAATTCACTTTGCACTGAAAGTTTGTGTGTGTGTGTCTGTATAGAGACCCTTTCTCATCCTGCTTCCAGGAGTAATTTACATCAACAATTTCTTTAAGTTGTTTGGTAGCATTTAGCTGTTGTAAGTGTTTTTAGTGTTGCTAAATAGACCAACAAAAATGTTGCTGCTGCAATAGACTTAATTATTGACCTAAAACCAACTAATGCATGATTTTTCCAGCACTTTAAAACATATTCTAATCTTATAGATGATGCATTTAAGACAGTTACTAGACATAATTATGATGGATGTCCAGACCCAAAGCAGCAGAAACCCTTCTGATAACACATCCTAGATCCTGCCAACTCCTCTGAAACATGGAACCTGACCACCTCCACATGCAGTCTGCCACTGTGAAGACAAACCAAATGCAAGTATGCATTATTCCACGGCAGCTTTTTATTCTCAAGGGAATTATGCAGTTTCACAAACTGTTGTGGCAAACAGCAATCCCCAAGCATCTCTTGAAAGGACAACTGTTGGTCTATTGCTGCTGAGTAGTGAGCGCGTTGCAAATGTGAGAGAATAATCCAATTGAGTTGTCTATAGGGTCTGCTGCTGACAGACTGTTGTGTTCAAACAGTTGGCAGCTATTGATGAGAGTGTGTTCTAGTTGCGCAATGCCAGGCCAGGACAAAAGGTTTGGAATGTGGGTTTAGGTTCTCATCACAAGACATCATGACCTTTATTTCACCTGAATAGACAGCTTCCTGAAAAATCAGTTCTAAAGGCAGCACTATTCATAATGTTAACCTCTTGGTTTTATTTCATTTTACTTTCAACATAGTCAGTTCAGCATTTACTAGGCATATTGGTGTAAATTATTTCCTGCAAGAGGCATTGGTGATGTAATTTCACACCCTCCCCCATTCTTTCCCATGCTATTTTATACTTGGCATGGTTAGTGTCTGCTGAGTCCATCTGCAGATTCTGCCTATTTTTGAGGCTCCTTTCCTGGTGTGGAATTGTTTCGAAAATATCCTTTGGCTATGAAAGGAACTTATCTGGACTTTAGCATCCACGTTTAACATTAATTAGATTAGTGTAAGTTTGAGAATCATGCTGGTTTGGTTTTAGTCTGTCTTTGATGGTATGAGGCTCGTGGGGGTGGCGGGGAGGCGAATGTGGAGCCACTTTCTTCATTCATGCATCCGTGGAAGTTTTCTCACGTTTTTTTTTCCCTTTTATTTGTTTCACTTCTCTCCCTCTTGGCAATGTTTGACAGTGCTGTCAGGGAAAAATTTCCAAAGTTACTCAGACTGGTAAGTACGTCACTCACTGGTTTCTCGAAATTAATACGGTGTTTATAGTACTCCAGAGAGCCGGGTACGATAGTTGAAATGGAATAAAAATACTGGTTGTTTTGGGTGGTGGGTGGGGGAAGCAATGTGATGGTGATGGGGAAAACAGGACTCTTTGAATTTACTGTAATGTGATTATTTATATTTCCCACTTGTCTTTGCTGATTCAATGTACAAATATTGGACTGTAATTCAACTTTCAATGCAAGAGTGGTGGGATCACAGACTTCATAGAGCTGGTTTTACAAAGTCAATATCGAAGCCTTTTGTTTAATCTTGGGTGGGTTGGGAATGGAAGGGAATATTTATAACTCATGGTACTGAATTGTACTGCTGTCTCCCAATCTCCTGATTCTCGCTGATTTTCCACCTATAGGACGGCCATGAGCTCCCACCTCCCATTTCCTTTGATGTTGAGACTCCAACCACGCTTCCTTCATGCAAGGTATGGTATGAATAGGCTGCTTTGATAGAGATGGTTATCTTCTGCTGAAGTCAACTCTTGTGGAATATTGGAGGGGATCTGGGGGATGCAGGCTTACAAACAGTGAGCCTGTTAAAGACAACACCTCAGGATATCTAAGTGAATGAGATTGCAGATTTGATCGAGTACATAAAGGCCAAGAGGTAACGCTGAGCTGATTTCATGATTCCCCAGTTGAAGTACGGTGTTAGATTCTATAATCTAGGGCTTTGGAAACGGTATTTCGCAGATCTAAAGTATATTGTCGGAAATGGAGCAATGACAAATTTGAGCATTGGGATCATAATGACATAACACAGATTGCACGGTGAGGTGGCAGAACCCTTCAAAATGATGAAAGAGATGTTACAGGGTAGATAGGAGTTGGTTGTTTCCTGTAGTGAAGGAACCATCTGTCATAGAATGATTACAGCATCAAAGGAACCAATTTGGCCTGTCATGTTCATGTGAGCTCTCTGCGCACGCATCTTGACTAACTCTGATTAAGATCTCAAACACATTTTCAGACAGTGTTTTCCAGACCCTAACTACTCACGACATACAAAATAAATGATTTTTTTAAACTCGTGCTGCAGTTGCTGCCTTTGCCAGTCAATTAAGGTCTGTTCCAGACTCCTCTGCCAATGAGCGCATTTTCTCTCCGTTTCTTTTGTCTAAACGCCTCTCAATTTATCAAAGCTGTATCCTCATCCTCAACCTCTCCTCCAAGGAGAACAGCCCCAGCCTCACCAATCTATCCATGTAGCTGAAGTTCCTTGTCCCGGGAAATATTCTGGTAGGTGTATTCTGTACCTTTATGAAAGCCTTAACATCCTTCCCAAAAGTATGATTTTTTTTTTATTGTTATTTGGTTTTGGATAAGAGGGACACTGGCAAGACCAGCTTTTTTTTTCTATTGCCTCCTACCCTTGGGCGGTTAGTGGTCAGCAATCTACATCTAAGGGGCTTTGCAGGTTGTTTCAAAGGACACTTGAGAGTCAACCACATTGGAGTCACATGCAGGCCAGATTGAGTAAAAGCAATAGATTTCCTATTCTGAAGAACTTTGGTGAACCAGATGGTGTTTTGAGATAATGCAGTGGTCCCCTAATCATTTTAATGAGACGTGCATTTTATTTCAGTTTAAATCAATTGAATTTAAAAACCTTCAGCTAGCCTGGTGAAATCTGAATTCGTAACTGGTGAGCATTAGACCAGACCAAACTAAATTGAATACACTCCTCCATTTGTGGCTGAGCTAGAGTTTTAATTTGCATTTATCGTAACTCCCTTGCCCTTGTACCCTATGAATAAGCTCTGTGTAAACCCAGAATCCTGTATGTGGTATTACCACCTTGGTATTTAAGACTCGTTGGGTATGTGGGTGAAGAAAACAGGAGACAAAGGGACTTTGGCATTTAACCACGGTTCATTGAAACGATTTACCACGGTGGTGGTTGAATGTTGTTTATCTGCATGACCTTGTATTAACCGTGTGCCTGGTTTACATACATTCGATTTTCAGAGAAGCCAGAGCTCGAACTCCATTCCAGATTTTTGAGCACAAAATCTATCCAGATGGTTTAGCATTCACCTGAGGGAGCACTGTACTGTCAGGTGTCCTGGACCGGATATGATGTTAATCTAAAGCACGGCCTTCCTGTTGAGATCTTAAACGCACTGCGTAAAAAGTTGAAGAAGTGCATGTGTTTTCTCCGACTGGTAGTTATCCTTCAACATTATTTTTGTGGGAGCTTACTTTGTGTAAATTTATTGCATTGTCTCCTACACAATAAGTTCTTCATTCGCTACAAAGTGCTTTGAGCATCGTAAAGGTGTGAAAGACACTCTGTGAATTCAAGCCATTTTTAAATTCTAAAGTTAATTCGATCGGCTTGCAGCCGTTCTACTTTTGCTTAATTATTTTGTCTGATATTCTCCCCATCCTGCTGCTAAAAGCAGGTAATGATTTACCATGATATTTTAATTAAGCCAGTACTGTTTTTTCCCTCTGAACATTGTGTGTTTGAACCCCATTCTGGAGACCTAGGTGTATAATCCAAGCTGACAATGCCAGTCCAGGACTGAAGGAGTTTTTTTTTGTACTATTGGGTTGGAGGTGTGTGTGGAGACAGTACTTCGAGACTGGACTGTCAGCGGGACAACACTGAGGGAGTTTAGAAGAATGAGAGGTATCTTGTTGAAACACAGGTCCCTGAAGAGAAAGACTAGATCAAGGAGGCACTGTTTAAAAATAACAGGTATCCCAGTTAAGATGGAAATAAGAATTTTTTTGAGGGTTAAGAGCTTTCGGAACTCTTCCGGAGGGAGATAGAGTCATTGAACGTTTTTAAGGTAAATACTGAACTGATTCTTGACTAACAAGGGGTATCCAGGGCAGGTGGGAGTATAGCGTTGAGGCTATAATCAGACCAGCCATGAATATATTAAATGTTGGAGCAGGCTAAAGGGCTCATTTTTCATACTCCTCCTAATTTGTATGTAAGCTTGAACACCTTATTTGTCTACACTGTAAGTAACTGGCCTTCAGCAAAATGTGAATTGTAAAGCACTTTAGAATATGCTGCAATAATGACATGCTATGTTTAAAGTTGTTTTCTTTCAAACAAGTCAGACATGCAAGAATCTTGGTGATTATTAGTGCTAGGTAAAGTGTGGATATAGTCTTTAACATGCTATGTGTTTTCCTCTAACAGGCTAGTTACTTTGGTACAGATGAAATCAAAGTGCTTGTATCAAGATTCATACAACAGTAAGTACCTGAACAGTCAGATATATATTTGTCAAACTTTATGCATAAAGAAATAGAAACTTTTTTTAAAAACAAAATTTTTATTGTCAGATATGTTTGTAATTCTGTCCTTTCAACCAATTGCAGGTTGTCTTTTGCTTTAAAACAGTGAATCCCAGATTTGAACTGGATGGAATGGTCCATTAAAAGTTGTAATGAAACCCAGAATTGCAAATGAAGTCTTTTGGTTCATTGTGTCTGAGAGCAGTTTTCTGCCTGAGCTTCTCACTTTGCCATTCTTTCACCTGTTCACTGTAACCCAGCACATTCTTCCGTTCTCAGTTTGTTCTTGGAAGCAATTTAACCAAAAGCAAGAGAAAATGTGACTTTGAAAAAAAAGTGAGAAATCTGAAATTACAAACAACAAAGGTTGACCTGTTCTACGGGTGCTTTGTCATTCCATGATCTTTTGTTCTGTCTTCTGTTTGTTCATCAGATTTCATTCTTGTGATGTTCCCTGGGTGTTGCTGAGCCAGCATGGCTTGTACGTGGAGGTTTTCCTCTTTCAGCAAAAGCTTTTGAACTAAAAGTCTGTGCTCTAATTTCCAGTGGTAATTTGTAATGTGGCACCACCAAAGTATGTTGGTCATGTTTTGCCCAGTCACTGTTAGCTTCCACGTGATAGGGTCAGGTTTTGCCCTATTTCATTACTTGTACTGCTAAAGGAGTGCATCTGTGCCTTAGTTGCTTCTAGACTTGACAATTCCAATTTTCCCTTGACCTCCGCCCGCCAGGCTTCAAAGACTTGAGCTTGTCCCAGGCAACGACCTGATTCCTCCAAGTCCTTTTCACCCATCAGGCCTACAGTCATCATGACTAAATTGGCTCCCAGCCTGACAATGCCTGGATTTTAAAGTATGTGCCCTAATCTTCAAATTCCCTCCATGGCCTTTCCCTTTCCATATCTCTGAAAGTTCCTCCAAGATCTCTGCACTCTTAATTCTGGCAACAGTTGTAACTCTGACTTTAATTGCTCCATCTTTAGCAGCCATGCCTTTGCTGCGAGCTTTGAAATGTCTACCTGAAACCTCTCTGTCTCTTTGCCTGTTTACCTCTGACTCCGGACATTTGCAACCTTCTTCAGAACATTTCTTTAAACCCATCTCTGGTCAAATTTGTTGTTGCCTGTCCTTTTATCTCCTTATGTGGCGTAGTTTTAGATCATGTTTTACAATATGGTTACAAAGAGACACTTGTGCGACAGTTCACAATGTTGAAGGAGCTGGACACTGGTAAGTCATGTCCAAAGTTGGAGAATAGCACTCGTGCTTCTTTTGAGCAAGACAAGACGGAATAGATAATAAACTATTTCCACTGGCTGGGCATTTTAGATCTAGGAGCATAGTCTGAGAATTGGGGCCAGAGCATTCAGGAGCTATGTTAGGAAGTACTTGTACACACAAAGAGTGGTAGATGTTTGGAACTCTTCCACAAACAGCATTGGATGTTAGATGAGTTGTTAATTTTAAATCTGAGACAGCTGTATTTTTGTAAAGTAAAATTTATAAGGGATATGGACCAAAGGCAACAATATATGGAATGGTGGAGCAGCCTTGAAGGGCTGAATGGCCTACTGCTGTTCCTAAAGGAAAACAGAAGGCAAGACACGGATGCTGAATACAGCAGTTAAACATAAGTTTGCAATCTGGAGAATTACTGAGCAACCACCAGCAAAACAAAGGTCTGAACCACTTTGATGCAGCAATTTGTGGTGTCAATGGTAGCCATGCTGTGGAGGTGCCAGTGTCGGACTGGGGTGGATGAAGTCAGAAGTCACATGACACCAGGTTATAGTCCAGCAGGGTTTATTTGAAGTCCCAAGCTTTTGGAGCGCAGTCCCTTCATCACTTCACCTGACAAAGGGGCTGCGCTCCAAAAGCTTGTGATTTCAAATAAACCCTGTTGTTTCTGTTGTGACTTCTGACGTTGTCTACCCCAGTCCAACATCAGCATCTCCACATCACCCCTTTCTTGTGGAACAGAAATATGAGAGTCCCAGAAGAAGAAATGTTTTCCCTAAAATGATTTCTGGATTTATGTATCTTTAGAGTTGGTATATCTGGTTAAATGTCTCAAAAGTAGACACTTGTGTTGAAAACAAAGGAGACTGCAGACAAGTCAGCCTCTTGACTCTCATTCATTTAGCACCTCCATTTTAGACCAAGGAATGAGTGAGACAGCAGCTAGTGTGAACTGTCAAGTGTTGCTTTGGGATAGCACAGGCCCATGGCTTCATTCCTAAACAGACTTCAATAACCCAAACCAAGCTGACTCACCAACAGAAAGGCCTTTGTTCCCACTCCCTGACTTTGTTGTTCTTCCTTCTGCAGGTACTATTCAGTTTATGATTCAACAGACAGGCAGGGACTGCTGGATGCCTACCATGATACGGCTTGCTGCTCGCTCAGTATTCCATTTTCTCCACAGAACCCTGCCAGGTTTGTAACCTTCAGGCAAACTGCTTTCCACCAAGAGTGATACACAGCTGACTGCAAGCACATAAGTACAAACCGGTTCATACGCACCCTACACACCACACATGCAGACATGCGCACACCCACACACCAGCACACACTATACACATGCCCTGCGCTCCCCATACCCTCCCACCCATGCTCCCCATACACCCCCAACCAAGCACACATGTACACTTGCACATTCACCCCACAAACACATACGTACTTTGCCGCATACACCCCACACACATGCACACGTGCTACCTTCCCCATGCACCCCCTACACCCCACACACAGGCCCCCTCATACCTACACCTTCCACACACCCTCTGACATCCCCCGGAAAGGGAGACAAGTCCCTCTTCTTGGTAAGGGAAGGGAAGGAAAGGAAGGAATGTACCCTTCTGTGCTTGATCACATCCTGTTTACAGCAATGAGCATTGGTCTTTCCCAGTGGCACTGGAAGCATTGTGAGAATTCTGTTGGCTCGATGTGGGAACAGTAACATTTGCCTATGTCAGGCAAATACTGTCTGGGGGAGGCATTTAAAGCAAACATTATGGATGGTTGAGAAGCAGCCCCTTTGATCAGATAGAAAATATTCATTACCCCTAATATACGTTATCGCAGCAAATAGAGCTGAAAGGAGAATGCGAAAGTTCTTCAGTGAAGAACTGGCTATGATTTGTTTAAAATGATGGTCATTCTTCTATAAATTCATACTGTGGTGTTGTGAAGGTAAGAATTAGGGGCAGCTATTACCTGATCTTGCAAAAGTTGCACTTCCTCACTGTCCTGAAAATAACGGTGTTGTGTCCAAACAGGAGCAGTCTGGGAGAGTATTTCAAGGAGAGTAGAAACGTGAGGAGACTGAAGGACCCAAGTAAGTGAAATGCAATTTGATTTTTGGTCTCCTATGCAGCAGTCTCTGTTTAAGAAAAACACTGTCACTATGTAAAGTGAAACACAAGCCAATCAAAGTCAGAAGATATTTGAATCCATTTTGCTTTGCAGTTTTTTTGAAATGATGGAAAATTCCTTTAGGACCAGACACCCGAGACACGAACGAGGTAGTTTCTTTTAAACAGATTAGCTTCTGATTCGGGCGAAAGTTCTGGTTTAGACTCTTGCAATTGATCATGTGGTGAGTGGAGTCACAAACAAAAGTACTGAAGGTCAACTTTGCATCGGGTTGCCTTTCAATGTTTGATTTTTTTTTAGATGAGTCATTTAGCTTCAAAGCACCCAGATGATCAGGGAAGCAGGTGATAAACAACAAAAACAGAAGTTGCTGGAAAAGCTCAGCAGGTCTGGCAGCATCTGTGAAGAGAAATCAGAGTTAATGTTTCGGGTCTGGTGACCCTTCCTCAACTGTTCCTGATATACAGCATCCACAGTTCTTTCGGTTTTTATTTAAGCGGGTGATAAAGTTCAATACAATCCTGTCGTATAGCACATCCGTGCACTTGTACCTGCTGGATTTCATATTAACTGTTGTATCTCGCACCACTTTCCAAACCCAGGCTCCATGTACTTTTTGAGATGTTGCATTGTTTTTGCTGGAATCCATGCCTTACAGGATATATTTGTACTCTGTTAATTGCAATCTTATCTGTCTTTTTTCTACCTGTGATAAAATAATCTACCCTCTGATAAGAGAAATGTTGAAAAAGGCTCAAGTTTTTATTTTGTCTTCGGTCTGGGCTATCTGGAAATTGCTGACTCAGGCTCGCCTTTTATTCCGGCTGTGTGGAACTTTGCTGGAGAGGCTGATTTTTCATGAATGTTCTTCTGCTGTTGGGGTATTGTGATCCTTGCGTAGTATCCACACACTCCGGATCTCTGACAATAATGAGAAATGAAGACTCCAGTGTTGTGTTCTCTTTATCTACTTGTGGAGCTTTGAGGCCCATGGTCACAGGCCCGAATTGGATTGGCTAGTTCCATACAGACCTAGGGTTGCAGCTTCAGACTGCACAGTCTGTGTCTCTCATTACTGCATCACTTATCCTTTAATGTAACTGTTTTAAACCCTGCACTTCCTCCCTTGCGTTATTTAGAGTAGAAAGTGAGGAGGAGGAGGAGGAAAGTGTCTATTGGCTTTGGTGGAAAGAGGGATTAGAAGTTTTTAGAGGGGCAGAGAGTAGAAGAAGGTAGAGCAGTTAAGGAAAAGACCTCTTCAGAACATGCTCCTAGAAATCTCCCTGCCACAAATTGTTGAAGAAAGACATTCTCAAGATGAAAGGATAGGGTGGAGGGAACAAATCCAGCCAGGTTACCAGAGTGTAGTTGTGAAGAGAATAGATGAGCTATATAAACCTGATTGCATTATCAGATGGGAATTATGCTGGAGTAGCAGAGGATGGCACTGTCTTTTGAACTGCATCTGAGCAAAGTGCCCAATGACCCTTGGCTGTGTCGGCTTCATTGACTGTGGAGAACTCCGCTTGAGGCCTCACGTCACAAAGCTTCAGCTGTCCCATCCATGCCACAAAACACTCAAACACCAGTAGGTTGCTTTTGCTTTATCTCAATCATTTTAAACTGTAGTACCACTACACTTTTCAGAAATAAAAACCTTGTAGAGTATTCTGAATTAGATTTAAATATATTACCTAGCAATATTAGGGTTTAAGTCAGGGTTGAGCAGCCTCCTTGAAGATCATGATTAAATATCAGTGCAGGTTTAGACAGGGAGGGGTATAATGGAAAACAAATTTGAAGAGTGCATCAGGAATTGTTTCTTATAGCAGTACATTGCAGAACTTAGCCAGGAGCTGACTATTTTAAACCTATTAATACAGCCTTAAATTAATATTCAGGAAGAACGACTCAATGTCCTCCACTTAGGGCAATTGGAGAAGCATGAAGAAAGTTGTCTAAAGCAAGCTTGGAAAATAAGCAAAAGGGGAAGTCAGTGGCAGGCATTTAAGTAGGTAGTTCATAATGCTAATGGACTTTAGTCGGAAGAATCGAAAGGCAGATTACTATTTAAATGGAGACTCCAAAAAATGCAGTGCAGTGGAATGTGTTCTTGTGCAAGAAATATAAAATATTAGCATGTAAGTGCAGCAAGGAGTTAAGAATGTAAATAGAATTTCAGGCTTCATTATGAGGGGCTTGGAATTTGATAATAGGGAAGTCTTGTTACAACTGTACAGGGTGTTGGTGAGGCTGCATCCAGACAACTGTGTACAGTTTTCGTCCCCATTTTAAAGCGAGGGTTTGCTGGAGGCTGTTTAAAAGAGATTCACTAGGCTGTTTCCTGACATTGATTTTTCAAAAATGGTTGAACAGGTTAGGTCTATTTCATTAGAGTTTTGAAAATCAAGAGTGATCTTAATGAAACATGCACGATCCTGAAGGTGCTTAACAGAGTAGATGTCAAGATGTTTCACTAGTGTAGGACGTTTGAGCTAAGGAACATAGTTACAGAAAGTGATGACACTCACTCAAGACTGAGTTTTCCACACCGGGTATGTCAACATGTTAAGGTATGAGAAGACAACCAGAAAGACTATCTTTAAAAGCTATGCATTGAATCACACAGGTGCATGAAGCAGTGAGAATTGTTCTTTCTGCAAAATGTTTCCATGTCCTTGCGATTGCGTTCATTGTCATCAGTGGCACAAGCAGAGAACATGACAGGACCCCGTTTACATTGATCTACAGCAATTAACCTTGGAGGCACAGTACTTGCACACCATGTACCTTAGACCAAAAATGGCCTTCATTAGTCATGAGCTAGTACGTGTTTTCAGTAATTCCAGCTGGAGTCCCGTCTTTGAGTATAATTGATTTCAATTAATTACCTCTTCCCCTCTTTTTGTTTTCTTGTAGCACTTCGGGCGAAGCTGCTGAAACACACCAGACTAAATGTTGTAGCCTTTCTCAATGAACTCCCAAAGACACAGCATGACATAGCTTCCTTTGTGGTGGATGTAAGCACACAAACAGTAAGTGAAAGGCTACTTGTTTTCCATGACTGGCCTGTTAATTCAGTTCCTTGTGCAACCTTCTGTGATCTTGCTCTCCCTTCCCCTTCTTCCTGGAGGCATTCAGTCCAGATTGCAAAATCGTGACTGGGGGAGGGTGCAGAAAAATGCTTTGTCTGTGTGGCTGTCTCAGTCTAAATTTTGAGTATCAGCAAAATGTTGGACTTTTAGGAGTCTTATTATCTGAACCTTGTACTGGGATTTCCAGCAATGTTCACAATGCTGGAGTAGGTTTAAGGGGCCAAATGGTATCCTTCTGCTCCTAATTCCTGTGTAGGGGGAGCTGCGCAGCCTGGTCATCATACTTGCCATTCTGCTGCACTGTATGACTCATACATGGTGGTGGGCAAGTTGTTGGAGGGAATCCTGAGGGACAGGATTTACATGTATTTGCAAGGGCAGCGACTGATTAGGGATAGTTAACGTATGTGCATGGGAAATTGTCTCATAACTTAATTGTGTTTTTTGAAGAAGTAATGAAGAGCATTGAGGGCAGAGCAGTGGATGTGATCTATACGGACTTCAGTAAGGTGTTCAACAAGGTTCCTCATGGTAGACTGGTTAGATCACACTTATTTTTGTCGTTCTTATAAATGACTTGGGTGTGAATTTAGGAGGTATGGTTAGTAAGTTTGCAGATGACACCAAAATTTGATCTGTAGTGGACAGCAAAGAAGATTCTCTTGGAGTACAACGGGATCGTGATCAGGTGGGCCAATAGCCTGAGGGGTGGCAGATTGAGTTTAATTTAGATAAATGTGAGGTGCTGCATTTCAGAAAGGCAAACCGGGGCAGGACTTATACACTTAATGGTAAGGTCCTGGGGAGTGTCGTTGAACAAAGAGATCTTGGAGTGCAGGTTCACAATTACTTGAAAGTAGAGTCGCAGGTAAATAGAATAGTGGAGAAAGCGTTTGGTATGCTTGCCTTTATTGGTCACTTCATTGTGTATAGGAGTTGGGAGGTCACGTTGCGGCTGTACAGGACATTGGTTAGGCCACTGTTGGAATACTGCGATCACTTCTGGTCTCCCTGCCCTGGGAGGATTGTTGTGAAACTCGAGGGGGTTCGGAAAAGATTTACGAGGAAGTTGCCAGGGTTAGAGGGTTTGAGCTATAGCGAGAGGCTGAATAGATGGGGGCTATTTTCCCTGGAGCGTCAGAGGCTGAGGGGAGAGGTTTATAAAATCATGAGGGGCATGGATAGGTAAATAGACAAAGTCTTTTCCCTGGGGTGGGGGAGTCTAAAACTAGAGGGCACAGGTTTATTGTGAGAGGGGAAAGATTTAAAAGGGACATGATGGGCAACTTTTTCACACAGAGGGTGGTGTGTGTGTATGGAATGAGCTGCCAGAGGAAGTGGTGGAGGCTGTTACAATTATAACATTTAAAAGGCATCTGGATGGGTATATGAATAGGAAGGCTTTAGAGGAATACAGACCAAATGCTGGCAAATGGGACTGGATTAATTTAGGACATCTGGTCAGCATGGACGAGTAGACTGAAGGGTCTGTTTCTGTGCTGTATATCTCTATGATTTTAAATGAAACAGGGCCATGACTGTAGCAATTGGAAGAACGTGGTACAACTTATGGTGCAGAAAGCCAGTGAGGTTATTCTCTAAACGCTCTGCTCCCTGTATTTTTCACTGCAAACCTGTACAGCTCATGTATCACCCGGTGGAGTACAATCATCGAAAATACAAATCCTTTATCTGAGTTTCTTCTTTCAACTCATTCATGGGGTGGTTGCTGTCCTTTATTGCCCGTCCCAGGATTTTGACCCAGCAATAGTGAAGGCAAGGCAGTATAATTCCAAGTCAGGATGGTGTATGACTTGGAACATAACTTGGAGATTGTGTTGCCCCCTATATCTACTGTCCTTATCCTTGCGGTTGGTAGAGGTTATGGGTTTGGAAGGTGCTGCTGGAGGAACCTTGGTGAGTTGTTGCAGTGCACCTTGTAGATGGTGCAACTGAGCATCAGTTGGTGGAGAGAATGAATGTTTGTGTTGGATGGAGTTCTGATAAAGCGGCTGTATTGTCCTGAATGGTGTCAAGCAGGTATAGACTGGTTGCGTAGTGCTCATAGCTCCTCAGATAATCCATCATCATCATCATCAAACATCCTCACTTCTGATCTTGGAGTCAATGTTCACAGATCCATGAAAGCAGAATGACGGGTAGATGAGTCGGTTAAGGTAGACAGAAACGTATAGAAGCTAGGAGTAGTAGAGGCCATTCGGTCCTTCGAGCCTACTCCACCATTCAATAGGATCATTATTCCCATGTAAGGAAGAGGAGGGAGGTTATGTTGGAATGTGTAAGACATTAATTAGTCCATATTTTGAGTATTGTATGCTGTTCTGGCCACCTCATTATAGGCAGTATGCATTTGCACTGGAGTGGGTACCAACAATGATCTATGAGCTGGCAAATGCAGCTATGAGGGAAGATCGAATAGACTGGTGTTCTTGCAACGAGATATGGAGGTGCCAGTGTTGAACTGGGGTGAACAAGGTCAGAAGTTACACAGGTGAAGTGACAAAGGAGCTGTACTCCAAAAGCATGTGATTTCCAATAAACCTGTTAGACTATAACCTGGTGATGTGTGACTTTTGACCTTCTTGCAGCAGAGGAGGCTGAGGGGAGATTTGCTTGAGGTTTACAAAATTATGAAAGGCCTGAAACAAGAAGAATGTATTTGCCTTATCAAGAGAAGTCAGTGACAAGGGGATGTAGATTTGAAATGATTGATAGAAAGATTGGAGGGGAGGTAAGGAAACCGTTTACATCCAGAGTGTGTTGAGGTGTCTGAAATTCACTGCCTGCAGTAATGAAAGGATGAATGGAAGAGTTCAAAGAAGGTTTACTAGCCTAATACTTGGAATGGTCACATTGTCTCTTGAGGATAGGTCAGACACTGTTGTCTGTTGGAGTTTAGAACATGTAGATGTGACTTGATTGAAACATAAAAGATCCTGAGGGGCCTTGACAAGGAAGATGCGGAGAGGGTATTTCCCCTTGTGGGAGAGTCTAGACCAGGAGTCCTTACTTTAAAGGTAAGACTTGATTGAATTTTTCAAGGAGGTGATGAAGATGAGCGATGTGAATGTTGGCTACGTGGATTTTAGTAAGGCTTTCGACCAGGTCCCTCAGAAGATTAAGATGCATGGGATCTACAGTAACTTGGCTGCTTGGGTTCAGAATTGGCTTGCCCATAGAAGACAGGGGGTAGTGGCGGAAGTGTGTTTTTCTGGCTGGAGGTCCGTGATTAGTGGTGTTCTACAGGGATCCATATTGGGATCTCTGCTGTTTGTGATATTTATAAATGACTTGAATGAAAATATAGATGGGTGATTTAGTCAGTTTGCAGATGACACAGATCTGTGGAGTTGTGGAGAGTGTAGAAGGTTGTCAAAGGATACAGTGGGATGTCGATCAGTTGCAGATACGGGCAGAGAAATGACAGATTGAGTTTAATCCAGGTAAGTGTGAAGTGATGCACTTTGGGAGATCAAATGTTAAGGAAATGTATACAGTTAATGGCAGGACCCTGAACAGCTTTGATATACAGAGGGATCTTGGGGTTTAAGTCCATAGCTCCCTGAAAGTGGCCACACAAGTCAATAGGGTGGTAAAGAAGTAACATGGCATGCTTGCCTTTATGGGTCAGGGAAATTGAGTATGAGAGTCAGGATGTCATGTTGCAGCTTTATAAGAATTGGTTAGGCCACACTGAGAGTATTGCGTTCGGTTCTGATTACATTACAGAAAGGATGTGGAGGCCTTGGAGAGGGCGTATGAACTATCAGGAGAAGGCTAGAAAAACTCAGCTTGTTTCCTCTGGAGCAGCAGAGGCTGACGGGAGACTTGATAGAAGTCTATAAAATTGAGATGCGTAGATAGGGTTGAAGGTCAGAATCTTTTTCCCAGAGTTGAAATGCCTAATGCTCGGGGGCATGCATTTAAGGTGAGAGGGGGAAAGTTCAAAGGAAATGTAAGGGGCAAGTTTTTTTTACAGAGTGGTAGGAGTCTGGAACACACTACCAGGAGTGATGATGGACGCAGATACAATAGGGGCAAGGAATAGAGGAATATGGACCAAGGGCAGGCAGAAGGGATTAGTTTAATTTGGTGTCATGTTTGGCACAATATCGTGGGCCAAAGGACCTGTTCCTGTGCAGTACTGTTCTGTGTTGACTATTTAAAACAGGATTCCAATGGTGATGTTAAGTTGGGGGCATACTGTGCGGCGATTGAGTACAGTTCTACTGGTGGCCCACAGTGATCACCATCCTGAGCTGAAGTGTTGACAGCGTGGTGAAATGGGTATTTTCCCTCTTGTTGGTTGCTTCTGGCCCAGTCCAGCTTGTACCTTGCTAACTGGTCAAGTTCTAGAAGTGATGCTAACAAGCTGCTGTTGGTGATAGTTGTTAAAGTCCATCTCCCTGCAGAGTCCATTCTGTGCCTTTGCCTTTGTTCCTAAGGTTGGTGATGATGATGTCTGCAAAGTGTGATTCAGTGAGCATGACTACAGGAGGCTGTTAACTTGACTTGGGACAATTGTCCCAATGTTGGCTCCGCTGCCCTTAAAACAGAACGTGTTAGTGAGGAGGGCTCAGCTGTGCCTTGTTTGATGGGTAACAGTTCAACTGGTTTGATTTTTATTTGACTTTTCAGTCATAGTTTGATATTGCTGCATGGCTTCTTTCATCATTTCAGAGTCAACCCGCATTGCCGTGGGCTCGGGAATACATGTAGGCCAGGCCATGGTCAGCAAATTTCCTTCCCTAAGGACCGTTAGTGAACCAGATGTGTTTACAGAATGATGGCTTGGATTGCTGAGATTAGCTTTTTATCCATGATGTTTATTCATGAGTTGAATTTACATTCTACCAGCTGTTATGGTGAGATTTGAGTGCTTGTGTCCAGACGTTAGTCCAGGCCTCTTAACTAAAATCACCCTTATGTCTCTTGTTATTTACCTTGTAGCCTAGGGGTACTGTTATGCAACTCCCTATGGCAAAGCGAGCACCCTGGCTGAGATCTGCTGACTTGCTTGAGTAACTCAGGAACTGTCTGCCCTGTTTGCCTCAATATCACACTGATAATGACCACACATGATAGACTTCATCAGCATTGTGACGACTGACTGCACATAATGGTTCCTCAACGCTGTGTAAAGAAGTTTAAAAACTAGGGTTTAGATGTGACTTTCGCGAGGTCATTGGGCTAGTTTTGACGTGTAATCCCTGTTATAACATTGGAAACACATATTTGGACACAGAAAGCTCCCCATGCCAAGATTGCAATATTGGGCAGATAATCTGTTTTCAGTGATGTCGGGTAAGAGGGAAATATTGGCCCCAGGACACCAGGAAGTTATTGGCCCTGAGATCTTTTACACTCACCTGAAAGGAGTAGAAGGGTCATCAGTTGACAGCCTTGTCAGAAAGATGGCAGTGCAGCACTCCTTGGTACTGTCCTGTGAGTGTCAGCCTAGAATTTGTGCCCAGCTCTCTAAAATGGGACTTGAACTCACTAACTTTCTGATCAGGGTGAGATTGCTTGCATTGAGCCACAACTGGTCTGTGCATTAATAGACATGTAATATAATGGCCTTTGGTTTCTGTTTCAGAATACATTACTCTGTTTTACTGTACATGGAGTTTTCAAAGAAGGTGCGTAAACTAAATCAATGTACTTTTAAGTTTTTAAAAAGTAAACTTATTCTTCAAGTTCCTGAAAAGTAACCCTTTACAATCTTCAATTTTCTCACAGTTGATAGTAAATCTAGGGAGTCTGTGAGGGCGTTCTCAAGAGTGTTCATTGCTGTACCTGCTGGGAATGCAGGGTAAGTAATTTTTTCATTTTCATACGCAGTTGTGTAGTCTGGGCTAGCACGTGGTTCCTCAAGCCTGAGGTCAGGTTGGTTTAAAAGGGTAAGTGCAGTGCAGATATCAGTCTAGAGTCTGCTGAAGGTATGCAGCAGTCTGGTGAGCTTTCAAGAGAACAGACACATGTGGGTTAATGCTTCTGGGGCCATTACTGGCACTAGAAGTGAGTTCTCTGGCTTCTTGCCTGTTCCAGCTGCTCAGGGTATCATTTTTGGTGTTTTATTTTTCCTGGCATTTCAATATTGTTGGTTTTGGTTGAATAACAATGCAGGTGGTTGCCTGATTTGATGCTAACTTGGCTGTTTTCCCCCGCTGAACAGGCTCTGCATTGTGAATGACCAGCTGTTCATCAGGAATGCCACCACCGAGGAGATCCGCAAGGCCTTTGTGACGCCAGCGCCCACACCGTCAAGCAGTCCGGTGCCTACCCTCACAGCGCCACAGCAGGAAATGTTGCAAGCCTTTTCCCAGCAATCGGGCATGAACATAGAGTGGTCACAAAAGTGAGTGTCATTGACTGCAAGGAAACTTCAAAACTCTCCATCTGCTTTGTTTGACCCCTCTGTCTTTAGTCTCTCCATATCCAAAGAAACACTGGCATTGGAGGCAGTTCACTGGGCTGACCTATCAAAAACAGCTGAATGGGTTAGGCTTTTATTCATTAGAGTTTAGAAGAGTGAGGGGTCCTCTTATTGAAACATAAGAGATTCTGATTGGGCTCGACAGAGCCAAAGTTGAGAAGATGTTTCCACCAGTGAGTGACGTCTCAAACTAGTTGCAGAATAAGTGGACACTTGGTAACTGAGACACAGGGTGTTTCCTCTCCCAGATGGTGGTGACTGTCTGGAATAGACCGTGGAGTCTAGGCATCGAAATAACACTCGAGTGGTGAGTCTGTGGCGGATGTTTTTGCTCATTGCCCTACAGCTGCAGCCCCCACTGGATTCACAACTGCCTTCGGAGTTCTGCTGAAAGGTCATTAACTTGCAACCGTAACTCCTGTTTCTTTCATAGGAATGTAGCACCTAGGAACAGGAGTAAGCCATTCACCCTGCTCCACCACTTAATATGAGCATGACTGATCTGCACCTCTTCACCCTTGATTCCCTTGTCCATCAAAAATCTATCTTAATTCCACTTTGTCTAAATTTAAAGACCCAATCTCAATAACCTTGCAGGAAGATAATTCCACATTCTACAATATTCTTTAAAGTGGTAGAAAAAAACCTCATCTCTATCTTAAAAGAGAGACCTCTTATTCTTAAACAGTGTTCTCCAGTTTTTAGTCTTCTCCCAGAGGAGGAGTCCTCACCACAGATGCTGCCTGACTTTGGTATTTCCAGCATTTTCTGTTTTTGATTTCAGTTTGAGTACTATTTTACTCTTGTACCTCATGATATTTTTCTATACAGCCAGCTAGTTAAATTTGATCTCCAGCTATCATCCTCTCTTAAAACTGTCTTTTGCACATCCTGCTTCAGAGGCAGACAGGGATAATCTCTCAGAATACTGCTTTGCAGAGGTGTAAATTGCACCATTTAGAACAAACTGCACTTTGAACAACTAGTACACTTCACTGAACCAGCTGAGTCAAGGACTGTAAATGAAAGCTGTGTTATTTTAAGTCTAGAGTTAGCAGCTAGCACAGTGATCCATAAGTAATGTTCTTGCACTGCTATGAATTGTCTTTTTCAGTCAGGCAGAAGGAGGGAGAATTGCATTTCAAATGAGAAATTTTCAGCAGCAGCTGGTGCCTTTAGAGTTCCCTCCCACAATGCTAATTGTCTCTGATCCTGCATTTATCTGCAAATGAATTAATCATGCTGAATCTCCAGACCCATAAAATTTAAGTGAAACTAAACAGTGAATGGGTATATCTCGGACAAATGGAACTGGGTGGCCTGAACTCTATAATCTGAATGTGGGTGTGTGTGTGTGTGTTTCAGGAAAAGCCCATCTGTCCTTCAGAGAGCCACTTAAACCCTTCAGAGCTGCCCCTAAACTTCACAGTGGATGTGAAGAAAGTGCCCATATGCGCAGTTTGGACAGATATTTTAAATTGGAAACCTGTAACGTGTAGGTCTTTATGCTGGTGGCCTAGAACAGAGCAGCTCTTGAACCCCACAGCTTGACCTTGCCAGGACCAGTGCAGGACTGTCAACCTTAGGAAGCGATAGAAAGAATGAGAGCAATTATAGACCTCCTTAAAGCGAATGAGGTTTTGTTTATCTGGAGTGTGATCCATTGATATAGATTGCATTTTTTAAGCTGAGACAGATGAGACTTGGTGTGTCTAATAATTAACAGGGTGTTAAATCAACCAAGATCTTCCACTTTGAAGTCTTTGAAGAATGAGTTCAGAATCGGCACCCATGTGAATGGAAGCTGGCTCAGTGGTATCTCTGCAACTGATAGATACTGGGTATCTTGTTTGCTGCTGCTTGTCTAAGCTTATCAAGCTGTGCAACTCTTGTATAACAAGGGAAGGGAGCTATTTAAATGGCTCCCCATCTGTATTGGACCTCAACCCCAGTTTGCTGAGGTCTGTACAAACCATTGAATTCCCAGCAGCCATGTGCTTGCTCCAAATTGAGGGCAGTATATTTGTGTTAGGCTCGGTTCAGAATGCTGAAGATCAAAACAGTGAACCGTTGCAGGGAGTGGGCATGTCAGAGTGAGAAGGACCTAATGCTAACCCTAATGACTGAGGAGGGGAGTGGATGTACAAGCATCTAAGGAAGGCCAGGGCATGAGGAAAGTGGAAAGAGGCCAAACAATGAGATAGACCAACCTGACCAGCTGTGGCTTGATAGTAGGGGAGAGGTAAGATACTAAGAGGTAATATGGATGGATGGGAAGAATCAGACTGGGGTGCCGTGGAATGGGAAGACCATGAAGGGACTTGATTGACATCTGAGACCATGTAGGATAGGGGAGCTGTAAAGATGATGTCTCCACTCGTAAAGGAAGCTAAAACGAGAGGTGTAAATATAAGACAACAGCTATGAATCCATTTGGGAATGAATGAACAATTACTTTATCCAGAGAATGGGACATTGTGAATTTGCTACTACAGAGACCGGTTGAGGCATTTCAGGGGAAGGCGAATGAAGAGAAGGCAATAGAGAAACATGCTGACGTGAAAGGAAAAGGTTTTTATGGAGCATTCATGCTGGCATAGAACATTTGGGCCAAATGGTCTGTTTCTGTGCTATAAACATCTAAGTGACAATTGCAAAGGATCCTGTTACTCCAATGAATCAGCCAGCTCCATACAAGATGACACTAGATTAAGACTTGATGCATTTGGGTCACAGATAGTTGTGTGGTTTAGCAGCCTGTTAAAGTAAAGTCACATCAGTGTGTACAGAGCGATTTTGAACCTGGCCTTGTAGTGCCAGGTCATAACTAAAGGTCTTTAGGTCACAAAGATTTGCAGTAGGGGGGAAAATTTGAAATTGAAGTTCATGCAGTTGAAGACAACAAATATTGATTTGGTTAAGGAATAGGTTAGTTGGTAGAGAACGGAGATGCCTTCTCAAATTGGAAGAATATGGCTAGCAGAGGTTTGTGCTACGACTTCAACTAGTCAAAATATTTATTAATGATTTGGATTCTAGGGAAACGGCCTTTTATGCACGTTTGCTGGTGACAGTGTGGACAAGAACAGAAACTCATTGGAATAAGTGAATGAACAAAACTGTGACATATGGATTTTAGCCCAGGTCATGCATTTTGTACTCAAAAAAGATAGATCTAATTTATTTTTAAAGTGTTGGTAAGTAAGGAACATTGGCACACAACATTATTGGGTCTGTGTATGTAGTCAGGTGCAAACTAAGTTCTAAAAGGCTAATGCAATATGAACCCTTACATTTGGAGGCCTATAGCGTAAAGGACAGGATGTATTGCTATTGCTGTACAAAGCCCTGATCAGACCAAATCTGGAGTACTTGGGCATCACATTACGGAAAAATCATACTGAATGTTGGAGGAAATGCAGAACAGATTCACCAAAATGTTTGCTGAATGCTGGTGAGTTAAATTAATGAGGAGAGAATATACAAGCTAGACTCACATTCTTTGTTATGGAAGAAGTTGAGGGGTATTTTGGTTGAAGCTTCTGGGCTTTAGAAAGGAATTTTCAGGTATGTAACCTTAAGATCAGAGCTAGGCATTTCAGGCAGAGGATGGTGGAAAGTGTGGAGCATGGATCCAAAGGTAGAAAGTACTCAGTTGATGATGTTCACTATGAGGTTGGTACATTTTTGTCAGCCTAGATTATGAAGAAATAGAGTCCAGGTGGGTGGAGTTACGGTATAAATTAGCTGTGTCCTCCCTTCATGGCCTTTTACTTTTTCTGCAACTGCTGTCCCTTTTCCCCGTACATCTTGTCAATACCTGTGCCTTTAGTGTTTTCCCCACTCCTGTTTCCCCTGTCTTTTCCGTAACTGGTGGGATGCTCTGAGGGTCGGTGTGGACTTGTTGGGCCGACGGGCCTGTTTCCACACGGTAGGGATTCTATGATCTATGATCCAATCTTATTTTTTCCTTGCCTTCCTCTAGGTGTCTGCAAGATAACGAGTGGGACTTCAATCAAGCTGCCCAAATCTTCACACAGCTTAAGGTAAGTTTATTAATATATTTTAGTGCATGGATTAGGAGACCAAAAACTCCTGAAAAGATCCTTGTTTCCAATTGGATAATCCAGTTGAGCCATTTTGAAGGTAAAACACAGGGTTTAATGCAGCTTCTCCTGAGCCTGTGCCTGATAAATCGTGAAATAAAAACCGAAAAAACTGTGGATGCTGTGAATCAGGAACAAAAACAAAGTTGCTGGAAAAGCTCAGCAGGTCTGGCAGCATCTGAGAGGGAAAAACCAGAGTTAACGTTTTGAGTCTGGTGACCCTCAGAACTCTGATAAATCGCTCTCTGCTTACCTACTTAATAAGGATAATTATTTCCCCTCCAAGTGAAACTGGTCCTTCCACTTTATCTCCTGTTTGTAATGTTTGAAGTCCGTCTCTGTTGGAGTGGGATTTTGGCCCTAAAGAGATTTCTCGGTGACCTGCTTAATGATCCTTTAAGACTCCACATCACTTCTTAGAGATTGGAGTACAGGCTGTCGAAAAACTTCTCTTTAACCTTCATGAGTGCCTGGGTCTCGGGTGATTTCCCACATTCTCCAGCAAGCAACTCCGTTGACAGTGAGGAGGCAGTTTGTAAATGGTGTGGAGCTATGTACCATAATGCAGCATTATCTGTTAGTTACTGTAGATGTTGACAAATAAGTCGAGCCTTGAAGAATCCCCTCCAAAAGTGGGGTGGCAGGGGATGTAGCATCAAGTGCGAGAGAAAGCTGGTTTCCCACCTTTGTCATTTGTTCCACGTGACTGTGTCTTAGATTTCTGCAGTGCAGCCTATAATGCCTGCTTGGTCCTATGCATGCAGTTTAAAAGTGCTGGCCAATAAAGCGTGCGTTTGAGAGTTGGGAAAGTGAGGCTGACCCTTAATGCGAGTAAAGCCTGTCATGGCTGAAAAGGGTTGAGTGGAAGTTAACGTGTGCTTCCGGCCTATGCAAAATGTCTTTTTGGGGTCGCCTCATTTTTGTGGTTGACTTATACGTCGCGACCTATGTTTATCAACTGGGTAGAGGTCTTTGCTCACCTTCCCAGAACAAAAAGACGGTGTAGGAAAGCATTGGTAAACAATAGAGAGACGGCTAAGTCGCTATGATTTTAATGTTTTTCTGAGCTGAGGTACCGTGAACAGAGTTGTCCATGATTCATTACTTTTTTTTGTGGTTTTTAACTCTGTCTTTTTGCAGGCCGAAGGAAAAATTCCTGAAATAGCGTTCGTGAAGCAGCTTTGAAGAAAGCAAGCATTACACTACCCCTTCTGACCCAAGGCTTTTAAAGCCTTTAGAGCTGGGTCTCTGGATGATTTTTTTTTAAAAAAAAAAAAAAGAGCTAAATGTTGCTATAAAAGATATATGTTAAGTATAATGTGAATTTTTCTTGCTAACAAGACTCATGATTTTTTTTAAACTAATGCACTGCAGTTACTGTTTCTCAGTCAGACCGTGTAAATGTTATCCTAGCCCTTGTAGCTTCCTGATTTCTGTGTATAGTCTGTGCCAGTGTTTTTCCCATAGATTTTTTTAAGGGGGGGGAGGGAGGGAGGGAGAAATGGGGAAAGTTTTGTTGAGCTTCGTGAGAAATTTGGAAGTAGGAATCTTCCTTATATCCTGGGTGATAATCGGGCTTTGTAAGGGTTGGGTGTTGTACAGGACTCTGGGCTTGTTGGCTCCAGTAGTGTGTGGTGAGTAGGGATAATCAGGTGAATTTGTTGCCTGTTCTTGACTTGCCATCACACTACACACAGAAGGTGGAGCTATGACCTTTCACCCCTCTCCCAAGGCTGTTTTTATCATTTTTTAAAATGGTAGGCATTGTAAACCCACATTGCTTGAAGTGCTAAGCCGTCTCTGGTGAGTTTGCACCAGATGGAAGGAAAAGGTCATGTTAGTCTGGGAAGGGATGGCACTTCGCCATCACCTTAGACTGACCGAACACCCCTGCTTCGTTCAAAAGTCTTCTTTGTGATATTTAGCACTCAAAGCTTGGTTCCTAACCCCCTCCAATCAAATTTTGTACTTGCTTACCCTTTCTAAGCTTATCTTAATTTGTTCCACTCCAGCAAGCTGGGCTCTTATCCCAGAACCCAGGGAACCACCCCCTCTCCGAGCTCCAGACCTGTGCTGAGGGTGGGAGTTAACAGACAATGGTAAACAAACAGGAACTGGTCACCCCCATTGATCAGATTATCATAACTTTCATTTGTTTCCTTCACTAATTTTGGAAGCCTTTTTCTTAAATCTCCCTTTATTCATAACAAGATGAAAGCTTTTAAACACAGTCTTGACTTGACAAGCAGCCATCCCCGTTCTAGTTCCTGGCTGGCTTTGGCCACAACCCTTCCACTGTTGAGCAGAGGGACTGGTTTTGTCACCCAGGCTGAGAAGGTCACCCCACCTGTAAAAGGGACCGTCAAAATGGTGAAGTCTGGGTGTGTGCTTTTCTTTTTGGAAAAAAACATACACTGTAGTGGCTGCAGTCTTTGTTTTGTGTCTCTACCCCTTGGCCCCAACCACTCGGACCACCTCCCTTGTATTTCTTGCCTCCAGCTCCCCCCACCCTGGCTTGTAGTGGCCACTCTGAAGTGATAACCTAACGTGCTCTGCACCATCAAATAACTATGTCTCTGCAGTGCACTTTCATGTACAAATTGCTCCCAGTCTCCTCTTGTTTGGTGTCTTAATGAAACAGGTTTTTAAGCCATCTGTTGAGGCCAGATCGCTAGTCGAAGTTTGATGTCCATCTGCTTGTGTGGGTCTGCACATCCACCTTCTCAACTCTGCTCAGGAGATTCCTGTGGGGTCAGGTGCGAAGGAGCTCTGTAGATCCCCTCGATTGTCTGTCTTGTGCTGAATTCCTGCTCTTTCGAGCGGAGCCTAGGTGCTTTCTGTCCTGAAAAGGAGAAAAGAAATGACAGAGTGTTGTTGCTTTGCACAACAGCTTCTTTCAAGTAGTCCCTACCACTGAGATGAAGTCATACAGACCTGGAATGTTCTCAACTTGGTACCCTAACTTGTGTTAAGTTGATCTCAGTTGGAATGTGGGTTGGGGGCATGGGAATAGTTGTTAGCTAGGGAAGGGTGGTTGGGTGGGCGAGGGGGTTGTTTGTTAGGCTGGGGAAGGATGGGGGTTGTTTGTTAGGCTGGGGAAGGGTGGTTGGGTTGGAGAAGGGGCTAGTTGTGAGGCTAGGGATGAGTGGGGGGGTATTTGTTAGACTAGGGAAGGGTGGTTGGGTCGGGGGACAATACCTGGCTAGGATTTCCAGAGTGAACTCGGACCAGGCTTGATAGCTTCAGCGGTCCCAGTGATTGACCAGACTGCTAATGTTCACTATCCAGTGATTGGAGGCCTTTGTCCCAGTCCCTTTAGCATTAGTAAAGAAAGGTGCAGGTTGAGCACCGCACCTACGTACAATATGAAGGTGCTTCGAATGAAAAATCCGATCCAAGTGACTGGGAGCTTCACCCAGATGTGGTAGTATAAGAGTCTAGCTGTCTATAGGACATTTTGCAGTAGCTCTTCTGTATGCGTGTGTTTGGGGGGCGTGGGTGGGTGGGATGGTGGAGGGAGTGGGGAGGTAGGGGTTGGGGGATGGGTGGGGATAAAGGTTGGATCTTGCAGCTCTCATTTCTATTGCCTGTCTATGGTGTTGTGGGAATTCTTTTAAAGTTATGGGCCTGTGAAAGTGGATGTATGTATGCGTGTGAGAGTGAGGGATTGAGATACAGTCTGTTACTTAAGAGCTATTGTATTTCCTGATACTGTTTCGTTTGTAACGGCCTTTCTGAGCTTGAGAAAGAAATGCAGGCTGCAGCACACTGTCTCTCTCCACAGTTCCCAGGTGCTGCTGAAGGGTATTGGGTTAGTGGTACAGTCTTCACCCCCGCCCCTTTTTTTTAATCCTGGGAATCGCTTGGTTTTCATTTGGTTGAAGGTTTGCTGACAAAGCTCAGTTGTTGACACTTATTCACTAAGTGGCGTGCTCTTGTTGTTAAACCCTTATAAATCCAGTTACCCTTCTGAACTGTCCCATATACTAATACCTTTCATATTCTGGCACAAGAGCAAAGTTGGATGTTTTTCTTTTTCGGGTGTTGTACTGTATCTCCGATGGGTTATTCATGGGAAAACCAAGAATGAAGGAGCTCTCTTCGCCTGGGATCAGGTCGAGGCAAACGCGGTTGAATCGTCTCTGTGGGCACCGGGGTAGTTGGCACATCAGCACTGCCTCTGACCTGCTTGGATTCAGTGATCAGTCACCTCTCGCAAACAGAAGTAGAACCTACCAGCTGCTGCTCGCTCAGTGCTCAATGTGACCGGCGCGATTTGTTTTTAACCCACACACTGGGTGATTAATTCAAAGAAATAGGAACATGAGCCCCATAAGGAGCCAGCCTGTTAGCTCACCAGTCAGATGCTAGCTTTGTGCTCTCGGTCCAGAGGATGTGCCTTGAGGATTTATGGTGCAGTTCGGTGTTATTTGGCACAGCCCAGCTTCTGTTCCACCATGCCCTCCATGGTCACTGATGCTTTATATATTTATAAAAAATGTATACCAAAAAAGTCAAAAGCTCACCCTCCCTCCCTTCTGTGCCTCAGCTCCCTCCGGTTGGCAGCAGCTACAGGTTTGGGAAGGTTTGAGCCAATGTGGAGAGACACAAGAATTTCAAACCATTGAGTTGTGTTCATTATGGATATTGCACGCCTTCCCTCCTGTTGGCTAAATGTTACCCTACTTCTTGGAAATTGGCAGGTGGGGAAAAAGTCCTTGTTCAAATTTGCCCTCCCACCTCATTCATTTTGCCCTCAGAACATTGAGTCCCCGATTGGAAGCCCCATTCCCCTTCCACTCTTGCCATTGTGAAGACCGAAGGACTTTTAATTTTATAAAAAATTCCAATTTCCTGCAGTTCAAACCATCCATTATCCATCAGCCTGAAGAGGCAGTGCCTCCTCTCACGGAGTAACTGTCTGTCAGACAGGAGAAACTGTCTGCGACTTTCGTTTTCTGAAGGTTGCCACTGAATGTTTCTTGATGGTTCTGTACTTGTTCCTCAAACTTCACAAGATTTGTGTTCATCACAATTCAAGCTGAACCGATGCCACGCAGTCATCCCTCAAGGCATCATCTCTCAAATGTAGCATCCAGCACTTGTAATTTATTACCTGTTGTTGCCAGAGGTGGACTAAAAGTGGTCTGGAGATTGGAATTTACTTTAGACAGAACCCAAAGCATGGGATCTTGCCCAACACAGTAGGAAGTGGCATGACATCCTCCAAAAGTAATTTTTGTTTTTTTTTCCCCTTTTGCATGCAGTTTCTCTGGTTAAATGTGCATTGCACGGTTTATTATTTAAAGTTTTCGTCCTACCCCAGGCATCCACACTGTCACTTCAGTGATTGCACCCTGGTCGCTCTCAGACATGTTTGGTGCCTGCACCCTGCCTGGTGCTGACTTTGCCACCATATTCTTGAATGTATCGGGCAGGGATCTGACCCAGAGTGGTGGAAGATGGCGCTGCCTTGCCCTTGCCCTTGCCCTTGTCTGCCCCAGAAATTGAGCAGGAATGGGAAGAATCCTGGGACAGGTTTCTTGCCACTGCTTTGATCTGAACGGTGTGTGCAACACTGATTTTTAGGGAAAAGGTTCATTTAAATAGGATTTGGATAAGGGAAGGTGGGGAGTTGTGGTGAAAACATTGCTTTCGATATCTGCTAGCCAACAGGATGGAAAGCTTTAATGCCTGTTATTGTGTATGGTGTAGGTGACCTACATTGGACTGTTGTGTGATTTGTTGTTTATCCCAAGTGGGTTTTTTTTTGGCGGGGGGTGTGGAAAGAGGAAGGAGTGTTTTGGAATTAAATTCCCCACCTTGTTACCTGTGTTTTTGTCCCACCCAGATCAGACACCTTGCAGTTTGGATGATAGCACCAGGCTGCTATCTGTGCCTCACTGAGGCACAAACTGCTCGAAGCTGTTGGGACTGATGGAGCCATTGGCTCATCAGCTTCTGCTATCCCTGAACAGTTTACAGTGGGAGACGCCATGGTCTCTGCTTTGGATGTCTTGCAGTGTGAGCTGGCAAAGGGAGGAAGTTGAATGGTTTTGGCATGCTGGCTGTCCTATACTTTCTGCAATTTTACCATCCTTTGAGTTCTCATGGTTAAATGTTCTGGAAAACCAGTTAATCGATTGCCAGAGTTTTTAATGGCTTGAGAACCAGTTGATCTGCAGAGGGGAAGGAAGTTACTGCCAGAGTGTTATTTGGAGGAAAGTTGCTGATAATCTTGCATTGCTGTCCTACTTTGAGCTTTTCTCTGTACCGATCCCCACTGCACCCTAGACCACCCAAAAAAAAAAATTTTTTAAATCCATTGAATTTTTTTGATATTGTTGGAAGGTGACAGTTAAAGGAAGCAAAGGCTGGAATTGCTTTGCTGCTGGAGCACCGAAAATGCTCATCGCCTCCTGCAGCAGTAGGCAAAGGCGTAGCCTTGTACAAGTTACTCCTTAAACACAGTCTCGCAACGTTCATCAGTTTCCAGATTGCGCTGTTAAGAGTTGGATCCTGTCTGGTGCCTCAAAGGTGAAGATTGAGTGCTTATCCAGTGTTGGGGGAGCTTCGCGGTTGGACCTTCCATTGCCCTCCCCCCCACCCCAGCCACGGACCTCCATTTGTCGATCTGCCTGAGTCGTGTTTGAAGCTGCCCCTCTTGACGAGGGAACTTTTTGAGAGTTGCACGGCTGCAGCTGATCAGAACAACGTCCTGAATGCTCTGCCTGCCCTTCGGCGATGTCCTGCCCTGAGCTTCCTGCTGTTCACCTTCCATCTCCAGCGTGCTGCCGTCCCACAGCCTGTGTCCGAACCTACACCCCACAGTGAAATCTCACAGGCCCCTTTTTAACAAACAGACTGAAAATGCAGTCCCTAACGTAACAGTCCAGTGTGGGTCCCTCCTTTTGTCAATTTTGAGACTTTGTTTATGTTAGAGCATCTTGCAGTGAAATGCTTATAGTTGATGTACTATTCTAAGAGTCTCCTTTTACAATGTGGTCCGACTTGCAGTCAAATTTCATTTTACTACGTTGTAACTTTCTAATTTCTATGAAAAATAAAGCTTGTAAATAAAGAGGTTTTTTTCTGACAATACCCAAGACTGCATTTATTTGTCCACGTGGGAAGTATTTCAAGTATCTTTGGAGGTTAAGGACTTGGAGCAACTTGCACACAGAAAGATGGCGTTAATGCCACTGGCATACAGGTCCCTGGAACAGGCTGGCCTAGAGGGCATAATTCACTTAGAATGAGCTGCTTACTGCGAGGGTTAATACAGCACACTGATGACTGTGTGAGAGGGTGAATACAGGACACTGTATCAGACTGCTGACTGTGTGAGGGTTAACGCAGCACACTTCTGACTGTGAGTGAGGTCTAATAAAGTATGCTAATAGAGTGCTGAATGTGCAGGTTAGTGCACCACACTGTTATCAGACTGCTGACTGTGTGAGGGTTTATCCAGCATACTGCCATCAGATTGCTGTGTGTGAGTATTAATACAGCACACTACTTGCTGACTGAGGAGATTAATACAGCATACTGCTGAATGTGAGGGAATAAAGCATACTGCTATCGTACTGCTGTTTGTGTGTGAGGGCTAATACAGCATGCTGCTATCAGACTGAGGGTTAATTGTTATTGCATTAGATTGAAATGTAAAATTCAGTCATCTTTCGATTTTCACTGAAGTTCCTCTGTCCTGTCATCCTAATCTCTTTTTTTTAAATCCACTTATGTGGAATCTGGACTTTGCAGAGTTTACAATCTCAAATTTCTATTGTCTCTGCTCCCTTCCCATGGGTAGGTATTAAGGCTCGTGCACAAGTGACATGGCAGTGTTAGAACCACTCAACTGGAGCAGTTTGTACCATGAAGGTGTGTCGATAATTTGGATCCTGCCCTGCTGTGTGGTAGTTGACCCCAGCACCTTTCACAATTGCATGATTGTAGATAATACTGGGTGAAAGTAGGAATAGTGCTCTGTATTAACTGCGCCCTCACCTCACGTTGACAAAACATTGTTGTAGATGGAACTGGCTTTACCATGCATTCTTCTCAATTTCATTCAGACTGTTCAGGCTTCAGTCAGGACAGCACAACCCTTGAACCAGGGGTAGCATGGTGGTTCAGTGGTTAGCATTGCTGTCTCGCAGCATCAGGGGCCGGGTTCGATTCCAACTTCAGGCAACTGTCTGTGTGGAATTGCACATTCTTCCTGGGTTTGCGTGGGGTGCTGCAGTCTCCTTCTCCAGTCCAAAGATGTGCAAGTTGGTGTGGGAGTCCCAGGGCTACAGGGACAGGGTAGGGGTGTAGGTTTTACACTCTTTGGAGGATCTGTATGGACTTGATGGGCTGAATGGCCTGCTTCCAAACGGTAAGGATTTGATCATTCTATGAAAGCTAATGGGAGTGGCCAGGGACCTAGTTTCAACAGTAAGTTAGTGGATTGCTGCTGTATGACTGAAATTGGGATAGATAGACTTGTGGATCGGGGTTTTCCACAAATCATCCAGGGAATTCCTTCCACGTCTGTCAGAGAGAGAGTGGGAAATTGCAGGGCATTTGCAGCCAATGCAGGAGGGTTTATCTGAAACCACTGATGCAGATGGGCCAGTGATTATCCCCACTGCAAGGTTACAGAAACAACCCTGGTTGGACCATGTGTTTAGTGAGCTTTATCAAAGGATCAAGTGGTACTCCTAATGCCAGGGTTAACTCAACTGCATGTTTCCCAATAAGGACTTAACAGTGACATAATGCAGATAGGTCCTCTTTTGATTTCCCCAACTGAAAGACAGAGCAGCACTCTCACAGCGCTGACCCTCCGACAGTGCGGCGCCCCCTCAGCGCTGACCCTCCGACAG